GTCTTGTCTAGACAGAAGAGTGAGCTGGCCCTAAAACATGACCTGGTAAGGAAGTCCCCAGGTATTGTGATGAGTTTGAGAGCATCCCTTCAGTGATCCCCCAGGACCAAAGTAAATATTTGCATATCAAGGCTGAGAGTCCCTGATTAGTACCTACAATCAATTGATTCAAAGTATGATGAATTGTATTCTCCTTCACATTTTTCTAACCTAAGAATTTTTTTAGTACTCCATTGGACACTGAATAGTTTGATTCATCACCACTCAACTGTCTATTACTGAACTCCATTGTTAATGGACCTAAAAATTTACTGAATGAAAATTATGTAATTGTTTATAGAATTGTGGCTCCTGATAATCTTCTTCCTATATAACACACAGGTCTAAATAGATGTACAGAGTGCAGTAGCCTGTCTGACAGCTCAGTTTAACATCCCCACTGCCACTATTCCTAGTAAACAGAAGTGTATTAAAAAGCTATTTCACAGGTAGAACAAATATAGCCTTATAACTAAAATGATCAGAAAACAACGTTTTCAGAGTATATATTCACAGATTGGACGCTGAGAAAAAGAAGCGCAGAAAAGAATAAGTGAAAGAATAAAAAAAGAAAGCAGTAAAAGAATAAGAAAAGAATAAGTGATGTCAAAAGAGAGCTCTGCCAAATCAAGTCACTGTAATAACGCATTTGTATTTCATTTGGTTTTGAGTTTGTCCATGTAACTAGCGAATGGCAGACAAGCTACATTTTCCAGCTAGACATGTAGGCTACTTGAGGTGTTTTACCAGAACTTAACAGATTCATGTTTCTTGACTTTACTTTCAGTGTTAAATTACATTTTATCTTTGTGAAATGTGTAATTCTTGTTCTTGTTTGTAAGTTATTTATTATGTGTTCTTTAACTCAGGATAACAAAAGTTTTCTAGTTATACAATTAATTTATTTTAAATGTTTTCAATAGTAAAATAAGGTTGTGTTGGGAGCTGATAGTAGTGTATGTGCAAATTGTGGTTTTGAGGGCCCCCAAAAAGCTAGGGATCTTTCTGCGTTTTCAGACTTGAAACCAATCCGCTGAACTACATGACAAATAACCACAGAATTATCAGTGCAGGAGTTTATATCAATTCGAGCATCAGAAGATTTGGTCAATTCTCCTCACATCTTGTCATATTTATATTTGGCTCAGAACTTTTCAGCCTTTAGTGTACATTCGGCATTTAGAATATGCTAATACAACTGTTAGTATATTTGGCTACACTACCCTCTTAAAACGTTTATAGACTTACTAATCACCTTGCTTAGCCACGTAATAATATACTTAATATTTGATGAATCCTCATTCAGTAAAAAGAAGCATTTATTTTTTTTAATAATTAGCAAATATTAAAAGTTAGAAATTAAACAGGGTGACACAGGTATCTTAGGTTCAGGTCCAGGAGGGCTGTAGTCCAGGAGGCTTTAAAACATCAGCACTACACAGTCTGAAGAGAGGATGCAATTGGACATGTCATGTCATTTGCCACATCACTTTATACCACACGGTGTCACGAGAAGCCGGAGCCTACCTGTCAAGCAACGAATGCAAGGCTGGGTACACCCTGGACAGGGCCAACTGGACCAGTGTTTGTTAGAACTAAGGGAAAGAGTAAGTGTGGCCTGTTAACTACTATCATGTCAGCATTAATGTGTTTGTGGTATTTGTGCAACAATCGTAAGAAATCACTTAACTTCAGGCAAGGGGAAATTTAACTTGAGGTTAATGTTTTGTGCTAGACCAGGAGTCTCAAATTTATAGGTCACCTGTTATTTAAAAATAATAATAATAGCTTACAATTATATAGCGCTTTTCTGGACACTCCACTAAAAGCGCTTTACAGGTAATGGGGACTCCCCTCCACCATCACCAATGTGCAGCATCCACCTGGCATCCAGCAGCCATAGTGCACGGGAACACTCACCACACATCAGGTTTCAGTGGGGAGGAGAGCAGAGTAATGAAGCCAATTCATACATGGGGATTATTAGGAGGCCATCATTGGTAAGGGCCAATGGGAAATTTGGCCAGGATGCCAAATTACACCCCTACTCTTTTCAAGAAACTCCCTGGCATTTTTAATGACCAGAGAGAGTCAGGACCTCGGTTTTACGTCTCATCCAAAGGACATCCTGTTTACAACTATACTGGGGCATTAGGACCCACATAGACTGCAGGGTGAGCGCCCCCTGCTGGCCCCACTAACACCTCTTCCAGCAACAACCTTAGTTTTTCCCAGGAGGTCTCCATCCAGGTACTGACCAGGCTCACACCTGCTTAGCTTCAGTGGGTTGCCAGTTGTGAGTTACAGGGTGACATGGCTAGGAACACTTATAGGAACACAGCTTTGATTCAGCACTGGAGGATATTTTGATTTGAGTTCCATATTAGTTTACAAAGGAGAACAGAATATTTGGCCCATTTAGTTGGTCTGACAGCAAGAAGGAAAGATTCTGTTAAAAATAACACTTTTAAAAGTTAGGATTTAGTCTATGGAAAGGATTATCCAGATATCCATTATCCCAAAGCTGCTGTGACATTGTTATCAGGGAACCTTCTCTAAACAAGTAAACAAAAGTGACTGTAGTAGTTCAGGTGGGTAGCTGCGTCTGCAAAGGAACAAATAATAGGTTTATTCCATGCTGAAAAAAAGAAGAAAGAGAACACAACGTTCTGGCCGTGGAGCCTTTGTCAGGTGTCAATCAAAAGTGACTTCCTAATCAGCACAGAGCCTGGATCTGTCTTAGTCACAAGACCTTTCAGTATTCTTTGAAATACTTTGTGTATCATTATCACCAATCAGAGCATAGTTGATGACTGTCTCCCAGCCAGACAGCTCCAGGTGAGTCACTGACAGAAAAGGAACAAGTAATAGGTTTATTCCATGCTGAAAAAAAGAAGAAAGAAAACACAACGTTTCGGCCGTGGAGCTTTCTTCAGGTGTGAGAGAGACAGGGCAGTGGGCAAAGGTAAAGTAGCGGGAGAACAAAGGTTGGGAGGGAGGAGGAGTGAGAGGCGGGAGCAGGGGACAGAAAGAGAGGCCAATCAAGGCAACTCCACTGACCTGTTGGTAAAAAGGATTATTGAAAGAGAACGTGTTCAGTGTGAGGACCAATTCTGCAAGGCGTACCAGGGTGTGGGTGGGTGGATCAAACACTGTGAAGGGCTGTGAAGATTAAAGATCTCTCCAAGCCCATTGTTTCTCATTTCACCTCTGACGGCCACAACCACTCTAATCTCTCCGTCTGTGTTCTCAAAGACGGTTTTCCGAACTCATACATCAGAAAGACCATCGAAACTAAAATTATTCTGCAGCTAGGATCACACATTCTTCCTTCTCTTAACGACAAACTACTGTTCTTTTAAATTTTCTCCATTCATTGGAAGTTTCATTTCACACCTCTTGATTGGCCTCTCTTTCTGTCCCCTGCTCCCGCCACTCACTCCTCCTCCCTCCCAACCTTTGTTCTCCCGCTACTTTACCTTTGCCCACTGCCCTGTCTCTCTCACACCTGAAGAAGGCTCCACGGCCGAAACGTTGTGTTCTCTTTCTTCTTTTTTTCAGCATGGAATAAACCTATTACTTGTTCCTTTGCAGCCTACGCATGCTGACGCAGCTACCCACCTGAACTACTGACAGAAAAGACGTCAACTAAGAAATAAGCACTCAGCACAAAAACAAAATCTAGGGTTTAAAAACAACATTTTAGGAGTAATACAGCAGGAGTAAATTACAGTAGACTCGCTTTTATGCGGTAGTTAGGGTTCTAACGTACCGCACATACCCAATATCTCGTATTATCAATACCTACCCCTTAGACCTTCCTATTCCCTTGCCTCAAACAAGTAAAAATCAATCGTAAGTGTATTAGATTGAAGTATTATGGAAAAACAGTAATACGGCAAATACAGTACTGTATAGTATGCAAAATAAATCAAATATATACTTAATTTAAAATAATACTTCATAATACGTTAGTTTTAATGATTCAGGGAACACTAGACCCATAGCTCTCACGAATAGCCTTCTGTCCTCAATTACAATTGAAGACTGATTCTTGCCATAGATACGCAGCAAACTGGTCATCGTCATTCCACCTATTATGTTGTTCTAAATCGGTTTGTAACTCAAAATCAGGCATTGTTCTTGACTTGCCTTCGTACTTGTTTTGGGTTTACGATCCATACTGAGGGTGATGCTGCAAGAAAAAGAAAGGACCGGAATGCTACAGGCTCTATAGCTAGTTCCCAAATCGCAGCTCACATACTGTACGTGCTGCGCCAGATTTGAATTCTTAAAATTTCCAGCATTTGATTTTTCATTTATTTTTTCATCGCCCACTGCGTATACGCGAATCTGCACACAAGTTTCACGTAAAACGCAAGTCTGTTGTACTCAAATGAGTGAAATACTTGTCTGCACATGAAAACATGATATTGCAATGCAGTGTTGGTTTGCAAATATATTACTTTAAATATTTCAGAATGCAAGCATTTCAAAGGGTGGGAATTATGAACAGCAGTCACAATGAATTATGGGTATGAATACTAGCAGAATGACTTCTTATTTTGCTCTTCTGAATATACAAGCAAAAAATACCAATTATCACTAGCCAAAAATAGAGGACAGGCTCAAGAGCCCTAATAGGGTGATATGAGAAATTGCAAGGGTGGTCTCCTTTTAGCAGATGTATGGGTATAATAATTTGGCCTGTTCTTTAAATGTAATACATGAATGTGATTCTAGCCTCTTGAAAGGAAAAGTACTTATTTTCAATGGAAGCAGTTCATAATGATTTTAAACTCTACTTGCACAATCTCAGGGTACCAACATAGGGTACATAGAGATCCAACACTTTTTCAGAAACTACAGTATAATTTTCCATGATTTCATACACCACTGTGTGCTAAATGTATGCTACAGGTGAAAACAAATTTAAGAACAAGCAGCCACTGAAACCCACATTCCTTCAAACTGTTTTATTGAAAATTTCCAGAGCTTTAATGGTATAATGGGCAGTCAACCACAGCATTTCTGCTCAACAAATCTCTGTAAAGCAACCCCAGCAAGGTTTCAATAAATGAATCCATCCATCCCTCACTCCCCCTGCAGTAAACACCACCCACAGCAGAATTATATCTTGAAGAAAGAGTAAAATCAGGTCTTGTTCAGGGAAAAAAAGGCCACAGCCAAGGCATTAAAGTAAAAATCCTAGTTCATTTAACAGTTCGAATGCATTGGTGTTCAAAATACTTTCAAGTGAAGTAGTTTCTAGGCTATGTTCAAACACTGAGTCGAGTCTGTGTGTTCTAACTCGAAGACAGCTGTCTGTGTGGGCCCAGGACATGGTGTAGTTAATCTTCTGTCTTGGCTTCCATCTCTTCCGTGTCGTCGTCCCCGTCCACTTCAGCATTCTCCCTCTCCAGTCTCTCAAGCTGCCGGGCCAACTCTGTCTCATCGGTGTCTGTCACCACCTTCGGCTGGAAAGGAGACAAGGATAAGTGTCATCACTTTACCACTACATGGTCTTCTTTTCAGGTGTTAATTTTGGAATTAACACTGCATCCTCACAAAAGGTTAAGAAGAAAGTGGTAGGAGTCAGATACACAATCTTATACAACATGAGTTGTTGCTGCTGGGACACTCATCACAGATTTCATTTTGTGACAGCAGCAGTTAACTTTCACCCAACAGAAAGTTTATAACTACCTCAATATACAAAAAAATACAAAGAGACATGAGTCCAGCCTTGCAACGTTAAAACTCACCTCCATTTGGATATTGAAGACACCCCTCTTCTCTTCGATCTTCTCTTTGATGGCAGCCATGGCCTGGTTGAGGACGGACAAGCCTTCAGTTCTCTCCAGTGTGGTCGTGGTCATGACGTACCGTGGTGGAGCAATCAGATTGATCTGTGTGGCAAGGACAGAAGCATCAGGGGTTCGTTTCAGAACTGGAGTGACAGCAAAATGCGAGTAGCTGTGTAAACTCAGTAAACTCACCAAACATGCATGTGTACGTTTGGTATACCTGCCTGCCAGGCCTAGCAGCAACAATTTAGTCACAAATTGCTTTCAAAGTTTCAATAACATTTTATTCAATGATTTAAACAGGTAGCAGATACACAAAGACATACTTGCAGAAAACAGAAAGAGAACAAGCCTGAACATGTGAAAGTTTGGCTTCATTCAATCATGCACCATAAATCCCTACGACAAGGACACAGGTAACTTTAGAATATTCCAGCACTGGAAACAGCCTGGAGCATTGAGCTCCCCAGCTCACCTTAATGGGCATGGCCTCAGTAGAGCAGTTCAGGCCTGCCCTTAGAGCCTCTTTCACTGCGTCAATTCCCTCATAACCATAGCAGGCCACTTCGATATCTGCAAGACAGTGCACAGTCAAAGGCTGGTTTCATAAACATTAAAAACTGATTATCACAGGTACTTTTTGAATTTAGTTTACTATTAATTCAATATGTTTTCTATTAAGTGTTCTTTATTTATTTAGTGTCCTTTAAAGGTACTTGTTTTTTAAAAATTTCCATTATAAGAGGTCTCTGTTAAGCACATGAGTGATGCTTACAGGGGAAAAAAACTGCTTCTTTAACACCTAACTGCTGGTTAGGTGTTATAAGTACATTAGGGATTCACAGCATTAGTCAGAACTCAGAAAGCTTCACTTATGGCCTTGAGCAAGACCAGTTTGTTCTCAAGGCATTCAACTTCAAACAGTTCTTTAAACAGCTCATGCACTTGACATGAAACAATACAATAGATGTCCACACATTTTCTGTCTGGGATCCCCTGCACAAAACAAAAAAGCTAGCAGCTATATTACCCTGCAACTCACAACTGGCAACCCACTGAAGCTAAGCAGGCATGCTCCTGGTCAGTACCTGAATGGGAGACCTCCTGGGAAAGCAAGGTCATTCCTGAAAGAGGTGTTAGTGGGACCAGTAGGGAGCACTCACTTTACAGTTGTGATGGGGACACTATACTGTAAAAAAGATGCTGTTCTTCGGAAGAGATGTAAAACCGAAGGCCTGACTCTCTGTGGTCAATAAAAATCCCAGGACGTTTCATGAAAAGAGTAGCTGTGTCACATTGGCGCCCTGGCCAAATTTTCTCCTGACCTTTCCCCAGTCACAGGCTCCTAATAATTCCCATCTATGAACTTCCTTTATTACTCTGTTTCCCTTCCCACTGATTGTGTAGCGAGTGTACTAGAACACTTTGGCTGCTGTTGCATCATCCAGGTGGGTGCTACTCATTGGTGGTGGTGGAGCAGAATCCCTATTACCTGTAAAGCACTTTGAGTGGACTGTCCAGAAAAGTGTTATATAAGCATAAGGAATATTATCATAAGTTTTAATTTACATTAACAATCAACTATTTTGATAAAGCTACAATAATTAAATATTCATTAATTTATAGCAGGACATTCGTCAACATTAATTCAATCTTCAGTTTTAATATTCATTAATGGAATAATAATGTCTTCTCCTTTAGAACACACAGCAGGCATGATCGTAAAATACACCTAGTACGCAATTATGTCATGACCAGTGTGAACTGGCAGAAATCATTTTGTTTGTACATTCATGCACAGATCTGATGCAGAGAGATTCTTTTTAAGAGTGAACACAGAGAACTGTTTGTCCCAAGAAAAAGTTAATTGCTGTGGTAAGTCAGAACTGAAATCTGCAAAAACAGAGAAACAGAACTGATAGCCAAAATTTAAATTCTCTAAGTCAAAGAAAGTTTAGCAGGGTGCTTCTGTTTGGTGAAGGAATCATCAAAAATGCATAAACTAACAAACCGATCAGAGTGAGAAGCAGCCAATAAAAGAGGGAATGTTTCGAAATGGGCTTTAAAATTGTTGGCCTATTATCATTATCCAAGATCCCTTCTACTGTAAATAGATACATGAGAAAGTCCTGTTTTTGGAGCAGGGCCTCCTCTTACTGAAACAGGGAACATAGGACAAGTTTCATTTTAGATCTCAATGTTTAATCTGCAGAAATTAAAATGAAGATTATTTAATTCCTTTTTCCATAAAATTATTTAATCCTTATTCCTGGTCCTGGACGATTGAATGGATGAAGTTAAACTCCTACTATGCAGCAGTTGTCCTTTGACTTTAGTAGGAAGCACATGGGTGCTACACCAGGTAGCTTGTGTAACAGGCAGAGGAACTCTGTAGGTAGGCATAGCGTTTGGGTTTTCCCCTTGTTCTACCTGCTCTGATCTTCACAGCCTGTGGGGTAAGTCGCCTGTTGATGTTGTCGATTAGAACATTCCTCTCCTCCTCAGTCAAGTCCAGCCCATCAAGAATTGATGGATCTCTGAGCAGGAAACCAAAAGGTCACAATACATTAGGAAAATCAAGGACAAAAAGTAAACATTTTTATTTTTAAGATTCTTATTATACTAATAAAACCCAAAACACTTAAAAACAGTATTAAAATGCTTTAAAATACTTTGTTAAAGGTGATTTGTGATCCAACATTTGTATTTTGCTTTAACAATTCAAAAACAAAATGTGGTGTGAAACAAATCACTTACTGACCCCTAGGGGTAATTTTGGTCAATTTCTGCCCTTGCGAAGAATTTGGGATGAGTAAAACTGCTTCCAGTTAAAATGTTTATCATAAAACACCACGTTGAGAGAACCTTTTCAAGGTCAATACTAGTCTCCTGAAATATTACTTAGAAGCTGCTTTGAGTTGTGCATTTTAACTGGTTTCCTTAGAGGCAATTACCAATACACTGAGGGTAGCAATGGAGGTGCAAGAGGTTTAGCATTAGCATCAATGCTGAGAGGGCTTTTGGAGGGTGCAGGGGAGACTCACGAGACAGCCTGTTTGAAGACATCGTAGGCACCGTATCCAGGTCTCTTGTACTTCTCATCGAATACCCAGGCCGTCCTCTGGAAGAGACTCTCCAGCTGCTCATCCTTAGTGTACTCCAGCACTTCAGCCACGTGGCGCAGGATACTGTACACCTGGCATGGAAGGCAGCAACGGAACAGTTACCTCTGTGTAGTGTGCACATTCACATTTGTGACTGGTGGGTCTAAGCTCTCTACAACTTGCCCATAATCAAATCAAACAATCAAGAACTATTGATAGACCTAAAACACAGGACTGACCCTGGTGACATCTGCCCCATTTGCTTTCCTGTATGAATTACAGGACCTGTATATCACCTACCACAAACTAAAACACAACACATGGTGTAATAGGAGTAATAATAACTATGTATTGCCTTTCCAACAATTACTTTAAAAAATCCAGTAAGATTAAATTTTTATAGCATATGCCATGCTATTTGTTTCTGTCTACTGTAACATTTTCAAATTCAAGGAAAGGTAAAAGGGGAATTTTTCAAAACAATATGAACATAAAAACTACAAAACTGTCATTTTCAATTCTTATGCACACTGTCAATCTTTTTTAGCAACTGCACTGCCATGAGATTGAACAAACAGGAAAGTCTACTGTTCAAGTCACAGGCTAGTAATCATATGCTTTATTCTTCTAAATGTATATATATACACAACTCCAGAAGTGTAACTAACAGAATTTAAAAAGAACAGTAAGTATAGGCAATAATGGAGATATGAGGCAAAGGATAAAAACATACACACAAACACCAGAGAAAGAAATCTGAGATTGAAGAGGATCAAAAGCAGAAGTCAAAGCAGTTCTCCGTCTCCCAAGTGGTAAATGCCATGTTGAGGAGATGGAAAGACTTTAGTTCCCAGTGAGCCTTGAAAAAACTACTTTGAACTGATTAGTCTTCAGAAGAGATATAAACAAAAAAATAATGTATTTCACTAAAGAACTGAATTGACTTAATAAAAGGATGTACAAGGCAGAAGAGCACACTGAACAAACCGAGGAGTAAGGTGAGGATATAGACAGCATCATTAAACATTTGCTTCAGACATATAGAGGGTTAGAGACTAAACTGACAGACATGGAGGGGAGTTCAAGAAAAAATCAACCGAATTCCAGATGTGTGTGAGGGTGGATCAATAATCACGTTAAAGAATTGGATTTCCCCACAGATTGAAAGAGTTCATAAAACCCTAGGCCCAAAACCAACAGATATGTGCAGATCAAGATCCATTATAAAATTAGGTTTTTTAGATATTAGACCAAAGAAGAAATCCCCACAAAATCATGGGAAAAAATACATTATAAAAATAACAGAATATACTTTGATCGTGATTATGCACCCAGATTTCTAGAAAAACATATGGAGTATAAAAAATGTAACTGTTAATATAAAAAATGAAGAAAAAGCCAAACACTGTATGTATATTTTACATGTAAATTGATTCTTTAATAAAAAACATAAAAAAATAGCTGCTTACAGTTTTGGATTTTGTAAATTTGTCTTCACACTTGATGGCCTCTTCTGGAGAAACTCTCCTTTTGGATAAATCAATATAACCTTTTGACATAAAATAAAAAGTGATGAGTTATTTACAAACAGACTGGAGTTTGACAAGACCTGTATGAAGTTGAAAAGTTTAATACAGCAGGAACAATTCAGCAGCCCATGAAGTACAAATATACCATCACTGAAATCAACTATGGTTTGAAAATAGTTTGGTTTGTCACATCACACTGTAGTGGTTACTGGTTCTGTCTGCCAACAGATACAATGGGCTCCAATACAATGACTGAAAAGACCTCAAGATGAGGAACACTAGTACGTTCAATCCATTCTTTAATGCTGACTGTCATTGCGCGCATTTGCTAACTCACATCGTGGGCTGCTCTGTGCTGGGAGAGATAAGACAACCTCCGTGACATTCTCAAATCATCCGATCTGTTCTAAAGAAGAATGGCAATATATGGTTCTGTTCTGAACTTAAGAACAGACAGTGCGGTGACAGATAAGGAAATTCTTGCAAATTCTGGGCCAGTTACAAGTTTACCTCCCAGTAGCTTTCTAACAATCACTTGCCACTGCTTCAGAAGAGGGGCAGGCAACCACAAAGGTTGGGTTCCTGTAGGTTTCTGAGGCACCTCTCAATTTGCATCTGATTTATAAAACCTGACCTGGAAAAGACATTGGATTTGACTTCTTTGCTCACAAATCCGATTTGTTCAATTATGTGATTGAAGCGCAAGATGGAATGACCTTTCAACCTTTTACTCTGTTAAACCGTTTCTCCCCCCAAAATCTTTTCATTGTTTTTCAATATTAACTATTACCTTAGTCATTACAACTCTCCCACAAAACTTCATCATGCAGCTTTATTGGTTGCACTGGAAAAGTAAAACATTTGAGACATCTACCACACTACTCAAAATGAAGGCCATGAAGCTAAAAATGTCTCCAGAACATGGGTGAACCAAAAATCCTGAAAATCAGGGTTTAGAACTAGGGTTCCCAGTCCAGCTGGCTCCACTGTCAGGTAGTTTTTGTTTCAGCAGAACTCATAATTAATCACTGACCCAAACGTATATAATAACCAAATTAAGACGTTTTAATCGTTTGCAGCCATAAAACTTGTAATTTAGAGATGTTGTTATACCTGTACTAATTAACTAACTTTTTATGATTTAAAAATTAAAAAGGCCTAATCAGTCATATTAGTTCCACGAAGCTGGTTAGAGTCCAGGTGAAAAGAAACCATTCAAAACACAGATTCAAATCAACCACACATGGGAAGAAACTGGACTATAATTTACTGCCTTTGTAACATCATGGCTCTCTACTGAATTGATCGATTTGGCAAAATTCCCTCAAGGACAAGCAGAGAGAGGTCACTGCTTCACAGGCCAGCTCTTGCCTAGATTCTCAGGCAACACTTGCTTGTGCTACTCACCTTTCTCCTTGTCCACCCTGATGACCACCACGCACTCGTTGCGGCCGATGCGGATGAGTTTGTTTATGGAGCGGATTCGTCTCCGAGAGAGCTCGCTCAGCAGGATCATACCCTCGATATTGTTGTACTCCAGCAGGCTGACATAGGCACCCATCTCTGCGATGGAGCGTACGTTCACCATTACCACATCCTCCACTTCCGGGAACTTGTGCTGGTAAAATCTACAGCTGAGCCCCGGCATGCTGGCAACAGAAAAGGCACATCCCATGGCATGACACACACACAGGAAAGGCAGGGAAAGACAGCTCTAGTGCATAGACTTTCAAACTAGATAACTTGTACCTTTATACACTGATGTAGGTCAGCACAAAATCGCAAGCCTTTGCTCAACAGCATACGTATTTCAGCCATACAGTGAAAAGCATAATTACTGGGACAGTGAAGTGAAATTTGTCATATATGCGAATGATTTTAAATTACTAATGAAATATGAATTTCAGATCAAAAGATTAATATAAGGTAAAGCACAGAATTCCAGTCTTTGTTTCTGGGAACACTTTTGCACACAATACTAAAAAAATGTCAGTTGTTGTGTTTAAATCCCCCATTTCAGATGAGCACAAATATTAGAACAAATGTTTCTAATTGCTCAAGTGAAGACACAAAAATTGTGAATGTATAGCCTTGGTTCTAGTCTTTGGGTGTTTACTTTTTCAGTCTGCCCCTTGAGTTAGAAACATTAATCAAGATGATGACTAGACAGTTGTCTATGATGAAAAACCAAGTAAGAAAATGAAAGCAAAGAAAATTCCAATTAGAGCCACTGCAGAGAAACTGGGCATCACAAAATCAATTATAGAATGTGCTGAAAAGGAAGAAAGTACTAGAGGTGTAAGCATTTGGCAAATACCAGGTACTTCAAGGAAGATGACAACAATTGATACAAAAATCATTAGAGCTGTAAAGAAAACCCCTACAATAACAGCCAAAGAGATTACAGACAATCTCCAGAGTGCAGAGGTGAAAGTATTTCAATTCATTGTGTTGTGACAGGAGAATTACAAGAGATAAACTGCAAGATTCAAAACTCTTAAGCCTTTTTTAGTCTTATCAGCACTAAGAACAAAAAGGCCAGGTTATAATCTGCAAAGAAGTACAAAGATGAGCCACAACAGCTCTGGAAAAAAAGTTTCATGGATAGATGAGATGAACATAAACCTCTATCAAAGTGATGGAAAGACAAAAGAGGGGAAAAGGAGAGGAACTGCACATGATCCTAAGCACACCACCTCATCAGTAAAACATACTGGAGTTAGTGTCATGGCTTTTGCATACAAGGCTACCTCCAGATCTAGCTGACTGGTCTTTCTTAAGGATATAACTAATGGTAACAGCAGAATGAATTCTGAAGTGTGTGGAAATATCTTGTCTATGTCCAAAAAATGCTCTAAAACTCAGTGGATGGCAATTCAACCTGCAACAAGACAATGGCCCAAAATATACTGCACACTTAGCCAAGGCAGTAGGGTTCATCAGGAAGAAGAAGTGGAAACTTCTGAGCTGGCAAAGCATCTCAAAGGAAAATATCAAGTCTGGTGATGTTGTTGGGTTGCAGACTTGAAGCAGTTATCACTTGTAAGGGGTAATTAACTCAAAGTTAATTTGTCTCAATACTTTTGCTGACAAAACAAATCAGGAGGGATTGACCATAAAACCATTTTTTTTTAACATGTATGCACAAAAATATCCCAATATAAAAGCTTGCATTCTGTTTAAGCTGCCTTATGTTCATCTTTAAATCTGAAATACAATTTGGAAAAGTATGCAGCAAAAGCGACACATTTTACTTCACTCTATATTTGTTATACCACAAACCTGTGAAGGATTGAAGTGAGTGTTCTAAAAAGAACTGTAATTCTATGGGACTGGCTTTGTAATGAAAAACAGTGTTAAATATTATCAAATTTAAATAAGGAAATTTAATAAATTAATTAAAATCAATTTTCTTTAGATTATAGTAGTCAGTTTCTAAAGCACTGAATCATGTGTATACTACATGAACCCTGTTGCTATAGTATACTGTAAGAAAAGAAAAATAAAGCTATTAGTAGTTTTGGATGAAATCTTAGTGAAGTAGTCCAAGTCTTATTGTTCCAGAAACTATTCAGAAACAATACATCTGAAGGATTTCAATTGCTATATACGCAGACCTTATAGAAGCATTCAAAAGTGCTTTGGTTGCTCTAATTGTACATTGTGATGTTTCACATTAAAGCAGCAGGGAGATCAAATAGAATTCAATTTGAAACAAAGGATCACTTACAACCAATACCAGAAACGTGTGATAATGTCTTTACGAATAGCTAAATAGCTGCAGGGGAGATGAAAACTCAGCCAAACAAAAAGTACAAATACTCTAACCACAAAATGAAATCTATCTTGAAAGATAACCACAAAATGAGATCTAATATCTAGAAAGATAAATAAAATACAGTTGCAGATACTGTGAAGATCTTGACTCCTAACTAACCATCTTGTAGCGTGATCTCATGAGATTTCAGAAGCTGATCAAGAGTTGGCCCTGATCAGTAATAGGATAGGAGACCTCCCAAACAAAACAGGTTGTGTTGGTGGATTAGAATTTGAAAACTGATGCCTCAGTATGGTGACCAAGACCACTCTGCTGTATAAGATGTATCCCTTAGATTAGATATTACACTTAGGTGTAAACTACTTGGTCATTAAAATCCCATGGCACCGGCTCTGGTGGCTTGGCTAAATTCACTTCTGGGCCTGTGCAATTCAGCCTACCTAAAGTTATCACTTAATTAATTTGATGACACAATTTCTGTTCTGTTATGGGGCTGCTGGCACATAATAGCAACCTAACATCACACAGCCAAACTCACCATGTAATATTTTCTTTTTCTGATGTGTTTTATAACTTTACTAATTTTAACACGATTTATAACTGTTTTTGCGTATCAGCCAGCTCCCAGAAAGAGTAAGACGACTATCTCGCATGAGAAGTGGTATAGGGCAGGTTTTCATGTGGTAAATACATGTGGTAATACAAGAATGGTCTGAAGAGCAAATGATTTGGGCACAAGAGCGTGCCATATAAATATATAAGAGGGGGTATTGAATAAAGCCACCACTAGTCTAGGATGACCTTTTTAATAATGGGCATTACTGCTTCAATCGCATGTCCCGAAAGACTATCGTGAAAAATTAAGGAGACTTGGGATAATCACTTCACCAGAACACGACCGACTGTGCATATTCCTGCCTTTTTCGTAAACTGAAATTTTCAGTCAATGGTGAAAGAATCGGTCAATTTCAGTTCCTGTCATTTTAATTTCCCAATACACTGAGACCACTTTACAATATCGTATATATACAGTTGAATTTTGAAGGCATGTGGCGACTTCTGCAACTCTTCTCAGAAGAATGGTATCGTTACGCACTTCTGTTAGTTTTTTATATGACTTCTTGAGTAAATCTGGCACATAAACTGCATCTTTGTAACATTTTGAGGCACTTTTCCCAAAGCAAATTACTACAACGCTCTAACGAAGACAGGTTGTGTGACCAGACCGCTGAGATTCGTAACAACATTAGATGGTGAATGACTGTCCCGAATAAACCTCTGGCCAAAAAGCTAGTTTATTATCAGCCACATCTGTATCAGTTTCTACAGTAACATCACATGTAGCAAGACTACTCTCCCCCTCCACCCAATTCATTCATTTTCTGAACCAAGGGATTAAAAAGCGACACTACCTTTATTCTTGATAGAGATCCAAACTCCGTAATGTTGAATAATTCACCTACGTTTGAGTATTTCTCCTCTCGACAAAGTTACGCAGAAAAAAATGTATTTTCTAGTTAAAGGCTGAGAACGGCCTAAACCTTAAGCGCAGTTAGTTTCCTCAGCATGGACGCACAAACACGTAAACCCTGACCCGGAAAAGGAAACTATGAAAAGGGAATCGGCTTCGCAAGTTTTGTGACGGTGACACCTAGTGGAGGTGAAAGTTGCTGTTCTTATGCACGAGAATAAGAAAAGTACATCTGTTACCAAAACCTAAAATACAACAAAACTGTCTCGATGATGTAGACACATTTGTTATATACAATATATATATATTGTTTTTCTCCGTTTCAATTCTCAGGAAAATTTGTTTTTCTTTTGTCAGTGGTTGAAAGAATACACTGATGCAGACGATTACTCACACATTTATGATCGATAGAAAAAGCATATTTTTGAATTATACGAGCAAATAATTGAAATTAGCATCCAATAGTATGAAAGACCACTGGAGCTTTTCTACGTTTGAGAACTGTAGCTAACGAGCGAAAAACACAGAGCTTGAAAACCGCTCATAAACCCTCATAAAACGATTTTTTAAAATCTAAGGAATTTAGAAATTTCGTTTTTATGTTTCATTAAAAGCTTCAAGCATGGCAAAATTAATAATACAATTTTTGCGGCATTATTCGAGAAATTATTTAATTAATAAAACAAGACAAGTACTTAAAATAAATAATACTATTCAAAAGTTTTTTTTTTATTTATGCATAAGAGATTAACAAAAATTACAATACAAACAAAAGTACATATAACAGTTCAAGACAAAAAGATCGTCAGGGGTAGATACTACTACATAAATTCAAGTTATGTAAAAAGATTAAACAAATTAAATAAAAATAATGTTTTCATATATATTTTTTTACTTTCATATTTTTGCTACTATTCAAAAGGTACAACTTCTGTCCTTCGGTTCTTACTGACATGTCGTTGGTTCTGACGTAGCCAGTTTTACCTTTGACCTTCGCCACCTCTGTCACATGACGTTTACCCAGCTGATTCGCCTCTGACTGACACTGTTGACCAGGGAGATTTCCAGTTTGCTTTTTCCCGAAAGCTATTGAATAGGGAAATCATTATAAGGAAGGACGTCTTAATAAAGAACAGTTTTCCTAGGATAAATTCTATTGCAATAAAAGTATACTGAACCTAGGCAAATCAAAGACGCGTCGCTTGCATCCAACAACATGTCAGGCAAGGACAGGATCGAAATTTTCCCATCCAGAATGTGAGTATAATTATTCTTGCAACATCCAGTTCGTTTCTGCAACGCATAACGAATAATATAACAGCACAACGACAGAAGCATTCCAGACGTTATATTAAGCTTAATTTGTACATCTGTCAAATCAATTTGTTCCGAAAGTTGGAACAAATTGTTCCTGACAGGACGCAACTGCCTTTTTTGAATCGAGTGTGTAAAAAGCTTTACTTATATATTTTTAAGTTTTGTTTTTAAAGATAGATGATTATGGTGTGATATGTCCTCAATGACATATTTAATATTCTTTGAAGTTTTTAGTAATGTTACATTAATTTGACATATATTTAAAAATACATATTTACAAAAATGTGAAGCGAGTGTATAGGTAGTATATCTGTGTGTAGGGTAACGTGACTCAAAAAGTTGTTCTAAATGAGGAAGGATTATTGTGCGACAGGCCCTAGATCATGTGAGAAAGAACAGCTAATTTTTTCAACAGAGCTCTGCTCTCTCTGTGTGATGTCTGGAATTTATCTCAGTCAATACAAAACTAATATTTTCCCAGCTCAGGATGGTTTTAGAACAAGCACTGTAACGTCTGCATGTGTGTGATATTTTAAAGGTTTTTTTTTTGTCTTAGTGGTTGATGAATGTTTTTTTCCACAGAAACACACATATCATTTGCGTCGTTAGAAAAGTTTAACTCTTTATAGTGCAGGCCTTTTATTTGCTACCAAGGCAGCAGAATCTTTACTTTCTGTGGATAATTTAGCAATGCTGGGCAGTCTGGATGAAAGCATTCCAGTAATACAGTTACAGAGACGCTTTGTGTCTAGTAGTCTTAATAAAAACATAAGAGAGGGATGCTGATGAGAAGAAACCTAACAAGAAAACCTTATTTATACCTATTAGGATCTTCTAAAATTGAATAATTCTCCTCTCATTTTCCTTTGTCCTAGACTGAAAAGATTTAACCTTGAGCCTTTGAAAAATTATTGTTTCTCCATTGAACTATTTTTACATTTGTATAGATGTACAATATCATTGTTTGGTATTGTGGCCAGAACTGAACATAGTATTATAAAGTGAGTTTTTACTTGTACATTGTAAAGCATAAGCATAACTTCCCTGGAGTTAAGTTAAACACTTCTATATACTGAAGCATTCGGTTTCTTTTTATTTGATTCACCATATTGTCTTGATGAGGACATTAAAACAGAAAACAGGATGCTATGGATTCAATATGGTGAGGCCTAGTCAATTTTTTGGTTTTGAGCAATCTTAACCCCTGTTGAACCTCAGTTTCAGACATGTTAAAATTACCCTAAAACTAATGTTTTGTTTAGCAGTGGATGTGTTATTGAAATCTTTAACTGTAAAAGCTTGCATGAAATATTCATTTAGCATGGTTACTATTTCATTATCATCTTCTATTAATCCACTGTTATTTCTTAAGCTATTATAAATTATTCTTTCACTGCTGCAGTACAGGAAAAAATGCTCTACTATAATTATTTGTGTCTAGTGAAGTACAGTATTCTTTTAAGTCTACTTCTTAGCAATAGTAATACAATTTTTCAGATGTGGCTCAGTATGCTCTTTTTCCATTTTAATTTTGGTATTTTACACTGTAGAGCTCTCTCTAGAGTGCTCCTTTTTTCTTAATATCTTCTTTAAACAACTTAGGCCACATTTACATAGACATGGACTTTTTTAAGCACCAATTTGATTTTGGCCTTTAGTGTTAATAATAATAATAATAATAATAATTGCTTACACTTATATAGCGCTTTTCTGGACACTCCACTCAAAGTGCTTTACAGGTAATGGGGACTCCCCTCCACCACCACCAATGTGCAGCATCCACCTCGATGATGCCACGGCAGCCATAGTGCGCCAGAACGCTCACCACACATCAGGTATCAGTGGGGAGGAGAGCAGAGTAATGTAGCCAATTCATAGATGGGGATTATTAGGAGGCCATGATTGGTAAAGGCCAATGGGAAAATTTGGCCAGGATGCCGGGGTTACACCCCTACTCTTTTCGAGAAACGCCCTGGGATTTTTAATGACCACAGAGAGTCAGGACCTCGGTTTTACATCTCATCCGAAGGACGGATGATGTGTTGTGTCCTGTGTGGTGTTGAGCTAGGCCATGGTTGAAATATGCTCTATTTTACTTTGTTTTTCAGTTACTTACTAGGTAATGTGAACTAGAATACCCTAGAAAAAATACTGCTGTACTTTGACAAAAGGCCATTGCGAATCTCAATGCAACAGGCAGAATCCACATTTCCTGAACGTTACTGTCCAGACTGCAGCACCACATTGTGTCCTAAGCCAAAGAGTCATGGGGACTCTACCTCTACATGAGTAATCTAACCATGGTCATTTTTGACACTGTTGTATGTTTCCAGAATAAGTGAGTGACAGGTCTTTGTTGTTATAGTCACCCTAAAAAAATCACCCTAAGGTACCCATATACAGTGGATATAAAAAGTCTACGCACCCTTATTGAAATTACAGGTTTTTGTGGTGTAAAGCCAGAAATCAAGATAAATCATGTCAGAGAATTTTCCATATTTAATGTGACCTTGAAACCAACAAAATTCAAGAGAAAAACAAATAGATAATTATTAGGAAAAATAATTGAAATTAAAAAAACCTACAACACCCTGGTTCCATGAGTGTGCACACCATTTTATAGTGGGTGCTGTAGCTGTTCAGAGTTAACCAATCACATTCAAAATCATGTCCAAAGGTAAGTAGCATACACATGCCATCAATGAAAGTGATTCTGATTAACCCCAAATAAAAATCAGAATTTCCTGTAGGATTTCCTTGAAACTTTCATGGTTGCATCCTCCTGGGATAGCCATGGTCCACAAGGAGCTGACAATCAAAGGCATTGGATGTACCATGGAGCACTGTGAAGACTATCATCAATAAGTGGAGAAAATGTGTCACACAGGGACGTTGCCAAGATCAGGACAACCCTTAATATATGCGTTTTCTGTTGTCAGCGATCTCTTGGGCTCCATGCAATATAATCTGTACAGTCGTCACTGGGCAGGAATGTGTTAAATACCAGGCTGAGCTATGAAAATCTTACCCATAACAGTCAAAGGAGTTTTCTGTGCACAATACCTTTCAGCCCCAGTGACAACCAGCCAGCACTCAATGTCTTGTCACAGCACAATCCAGCCAACTCCAGATTCCAACATACTGTAACAGCTTTTGTGCTTTCACAGTTGTCTTAATAAAGTTAAAGTTTTGCAGAGAGATTTAAAGCTATTTTTACAGATATAATTCATTGTAATGTTTTCTTTAAAACCTTCTTAAATGTACTACATTTTGTTAAGAATAGGTTGGCAGTTTACTCGTTCATAACACTCTGTAACATCAGTAGACATATTGTTTTTCCTGAAGCAAAATTTGTATATAATTAACATTACTGACAAAATAAGAGTTGAGATCAGAAGTATTTAATAATAATAATAATAATAATAATAATAATAATAATAATAATAATAATAAAACCTTATTTTATATAAGCGCCTTTAAAGGTGGCTTCTCAAAGAGCTTTACAGGATGACAACAACAATAAATAAGAAGAATACACAATTACAATATAAAGAGGAGACTGTGGATGGTGGTACTAAGAAAAGCAGAGGGGTGAAGAATGAAACCAGTTAAGTAAAGGCATTTCTGAAGAAGAGGGTTTCGAGTCTGGATTTTGAAGGAGTTTAGAGAAGGTGACTCTCTGATATCCTTTGGGAGAGAGTTCCAGAGCTTGGGGCATAACAGGAGAAGGCCCTGTCACCCATACAATGTAGAAGGGCTTGGGGGACAGTAAGGAGAGAAGAATTAGATGAGCGAAGGTTGCGAGGTGGAGAGTAGGGCGATAATAGTTCAGACAGGTACTGAGGTGCCAAGCCATGCAGAGCCTCATAGGTGAGCATGAGGATTTTAAAGTCTACATGGAATTTGACCAGAAGCCAGTGCAAGGATTCCAGGATAGGAGTAATGTGAACACTTGCACTAGACCTGGTTAGGATTCTGGCTGCTGAATATTGGACATACTGCTGTTTGTTCAGAGTAGATTAAGATACCCCAGCGAATAGAGCATTACAGTAGTCAATTCAAGAGAACACAAATGTGTTGATCAGCTTTTCAGCCACAGTTAGTGATAGCATAGGGCGTAGTCTAGCGAAATTTCTGAGGTGAAAAAAAGATGTTTTGACAGTATGCTGCACATGTGGGTCGAATGTTAAGCCAGAATCTAATATAACCCCAAGGTTTTTCAATTTTGATTCAAGCTCAAGTACAGAACCATCTACAGATAGGGTTACAGGACTGGCTTTACGAAGCTGATGGAGGGTGCCATTAAGCCTGACTTCGGTCTTGTCGCAGTTAAGATGAAGAAAGTTTTGAGTCTTTCAAATTTTTATGTCAGAGGTGAAATTAGATAAAATAGAGACAGCCAAATCAGTGTCAGTCTGGAACACCAGACTTAACAAGACCAATTTCAGACCTGTACCCATTGAGAAAGACAAAGTGACAGCGATCAGTGAGGTAAGATTTGAGCCATTTGAAAGCAGTGTCAGAAACTCCAAACACAGTCTCAAGACGAGAAAGTAAGATGTTATGGTCAACAGTGTCAAAAGCAGCTTGTTTTTTGTCTCTACCTCATCAGATTCTTTTTGGTGAGTACAAGTAGAATATTCTCACTGGGCTTCATGAATGTAAAATGGTTTGGGTCAAACCACAATCAGTTCTACTGGTGGATGAAGGTCTTCTTTATAATGAAATAGATCATGAGACCCCACTGGCCATACAGGTTAGACAGCTGGAACTGCTAGAGGTTCCAGCCTCTCTACTTGTCCAAATCTCTAACCACATGAGGTGCCCAATTAACCTCACACAGATACATATGTGAAGTGCAGCACTGGAGGACAATGCTTGTTTTCACCCTACGTTCTCTCTTGTATTTATTACTAATGCATTTTATAATGCTTGTAAGCACATGTCATTTAATCTTGAAAAGTTCATAAAGGAGGCAAAATATTAACTACAAATATAAAGTGGACAACAGAACGTGAAAAGGCTGCTTATGAAAAATATTTATGTTAACAAATCAGTTGCATCTTTCAGGCAATATGGAAAAAAACAATATAAAGGCAAACAGAATGTTAGGATATACATCTGAAAACATAGAATTCAATTAAATAGCTGTTATGTTAAAATTATTTAGTAAGGTCATTAGTGATACAAATTAATATTACTCGCTTACACTAACAGTCTAAAACATACCTCTTTTCAACCCTGAATAAATAAGGACACAAGGGACATGATTCAAACTCCTAAAAGGTACTAACGAAGTTACCCCTATGGACATCTTCAGAATAGGCCCCAGGAACAGCAGGCACCTCTTTACTCAAGGTGATTGTGGGAATCTGGAATAAGTTGCAAAGCCATGTGCTGTATGGCCCCCTTTTATGCCCATAGATTTAGACTTTTGCCATGCCTACTGGTACAGTAGAGGTAGGTGTACGAATGTGATGTAAGATCACTTATAGTATATCAGCCATCTTGCCCACAGCACAGCACAAGGCATAGCCTGCTACTACTTTATAGTGCTCAGGAGCCATGGAGCATACCATGTGTGGATCATTCCCACTACTGTGAACAAGATAAATCATAATTATGAACATACCATTCCACAATCATGTGGACAGCATATAATATTCACAATAAAACAGGATCAAAAAAAGACGGAATAGAAGGATGTAAATTCTTTCTGACTATATATAAACATTTTTCCCTGTATATTTTCAAGTACTTCGTTTTGAGCTATCTTCTGAAAAGGTTGTACCAATGAAGAATCAAGTAGAACACACAGATTCAGTTGTAGACATTAAATTAAAACACTAACTTAAAGAACATTCAAAACAAAAAAATTAAAGAGCAGAACATGTCAACTTTTGTCAGGGCGCAGACCATCATGAAGGCACGCCTGAAGGGAGCCCAGACTGGACGAAATCTCCTGAAGAAGAAGGCCGATGCCCTCACCCTGCGCTTCCGGCAGATCCTCCGAAAAATCATTGAGGTAGCAGAAAGTGCTGCCTGGTTTGGCACAGAGAATTAGCACATCCATGTAGCCCCATAACGGAAAGTTTCAAACTTTAAAGCAAGGATTAATCAAATTATGATTTTTAATGTTTTTTACATATATAACTTATAATACCTATACATTTTCCTCCTGATTTAAACATGGTGAGAACATTGTGCAGATGACTCTTATTTAAACTCTAATAAACTCTTGTATCTAGAAATAAGTCTTTGTGAAGTGTTGTAAGAATACTGGGAGATGCAGTGATCTGTCTGTGCTCCTATCTTTTCAACAGACCAAAACCTTGATGGGAGAGGTGATGAGGGAGGCTGCGTTCTCTCTGGCAGAAGCCAAATTTGCTGCTGGAGATTTCAGGTACAGTAGGTCTCATGAAGAGAGAGGAAATTGATAAGGCTTAGTGATGGTCCTCTATTACTTCCCAATTTATATGGAAATATGGAAGGGTGTTCATTCTTTCATGGTTGTTTATTTGTTAGTATTTTGTTCATTCAGTGAATTCCTCTAGCTGATTCTTGTGGGATGCAGCAGTAGAGTACAGGGGCACTAACTGGATCCTGAGAGACTACCGTAGCAATAGCATTTGAGTCTGGAAAACCTGATGGGACACTGAAGGTTTAGGATCAGTAACTGTGAAGTCATCCTCTTTCCTAACAGTACCACCGTCATTCAGAACGTGAACAAAGCACAGGTGAAGGTCCGTGCCAAAAAGGACAATGTAGCAGGTGAGCAGATAGTTGTTTGTATTTTGGGGGAATATGGAGTAATACATATTAAACATCATATAATGACAATTCCCTTCTCAACTTTTAGTTTCTTTCAAAGATTTTATCCCTTGACATGCAATTGTTTAATGACTTATATTTAGAAATATTTTAGAATGTCATATAAGAAGTAATAAAACATTGTAGCCAAATGAAAGTTATCTGTGAACTAGCTTTTTTGTTTGTCCACTAACAATAACAGGTGCTGTGTATATTAATTTAGTGAGGGATACATTGCAAAGTAGTTCAATGCTGACTGGTTACTTTTGTTAACAAAACAAAATGGGAATTAACATCCTCAAGCTCTGTATTTGTTTCTTGTTTTTCTTAGTTTGTTTTAAGTAAATACAGAAGGTCCATTTTCTATGTTTCAGGTGTGACTCTGCCAGTGTTTGAACACTACCAAGAGGGAGGAGACAGTAAGTTTTGACATGCTTGTACAGTTATTCCTCACAGAAAGCCCAGGTCACTGCAGTTCAGGGCTCTAGTGTTTGGCTTTTGAACAGCCAAGGGAGTGAAGAGTTTGTTTATTTTTTCTTGGGTGTACTCGGCTCTCCTGCATAAGTTTTAGATAAAGACATTGGGAGCTATTGGAAAATCATTCTGTCGGTACAGTATTAATAGTTGAACCATGAATTCAACAGAGTTCAACAGTGCAAAGTTATAACAATATGGGATCTAAAAACATGATGGCTGAGGGAGATTTTGTATGTGAAAGATCAGTTATTGGATTAGTTACTTGATAATCCATTTATTATCATGTCTTCATCCTACAGTATGTCCAGTTTAAATGTGTAGGATTTAGGAGGCCAGTTTTCAGGGGGTGTTGTTGGAACACTGACATATCTCCCATTGTTCTATTATAGAGTATTATTTTATTCCTAGTGCTGGAAGGCCAGTATATCGCCAGGTTTTAACTTATCACCGAATCAGCTAATTATTGGCTCAGTTCTGTTAAACTAGTTCTCCCAGCTCTTCAAGTCTGGGTTCTTTAAAGAGACCTGGGAAAGGCCCTCCAGCAGTGAGTGATCCTGCTTGGAGAATACAGTATGTGCTAAAATTGAACCCGTATGGGAAAAGAAACTGAGTGGAAAGAACTGAGTTGTCAAAAAACAAAACTCAGGCCTCCTAACTAGTAAAGGCATTTGCCCTGGCTCACTCTGAACTCTGTATTCTAAGGGGCGGAGCAGTGGCTCTGTGGTTAAGGATCTGCACCTGTGGCTGGAAGGTTGCTGGTTCAAATCCCGCAGCCGGCAGAGGAATCTTACTCCGTTGGGCTCTTGAGCAAGGCCCTTAACCCCAACTGCTCCAGGGTCGCTGTACAATGGCAGACCCTGCACTCTGACCCCAGGCTCTCTCCCTATCTGTATGTCTGTGTGTCTCATGGAGAGCAAGCTGGGGTATGCAAAAAGACAATTCCTAATGCAAGAAATTGTAAAGGGTTAATAAAGTGATGTTGTTGTTGTTATTATTATTATTATTAGTAATTATTATTATAAATAATAATAATAATTATTATTATTATTATTATTATTATTAAGTGTTGTGGGTTCGAGCATGGGTCGTGTCATCAACTGACTGTAATCAGTACCAGTTGAGTGCTGCTGAGGACAAGGTGGGATGAGTCTGCCAGGGTGCTCTCAATTACATAGTGACCCCTAAGTTATAAAGAGTGTTATGAAATATTGTGCAGTGGTGTTGAAATAACATGTAATCTGATACATGAGTCTTGTTTATATCACATTAAACAACTCTTTCCAAGAGTTTTCATTATATAGCCCCCTGCAGTATTTTAAAATTGAGTATGCTTCATAAAATATTTTATATATTTATTACTTTTAATGATAGATTGGATGTCAATATGAAGAAATTACTATGCAAAGAAAGCTGAAACACTCACATGATGAATTAACATTTCTGATAAAATAAAATGTATATGTATTGTGTGAAAAGTTCTGTTGGTACTGTTTATTAGGTTAACCAAAGTTATGTGTTTTCCAGAAGTTTTGGAGAGTTTTCGAGTCATATCTGCTCTGTATGGATAATCTGTAACTATGCTTGCACCCCTTTGCAAGATCTGGATGCAAATTTTAGATGCAGGTTTCGTTTAGACCTAAAGTAACATTTATTTCTGTTGTCCTCGTGTTTAACCTTCATGCTGTTAGAGGTACTGTTGCAATACGTATAGGGCTCCTCTTCTGATTAAAACCAAGGTTAAACCTAGAAACTCTTTGCTTAATTTTGGGTTTCCCCTTAAGAGGTTTTCCCTTTTAATTCTGATGTTAGAATTATCATTATTATTACCGTTATTATCACATGGATTTTTTGATAATGTGGGTGAGAAAAGTTGTTAACCCTTATATGTCATGTTCATACCTGAAATGGTTATTCAGTCTGAGCTCTACTTAGCTTTCCGTGCATTGCTCAGATGTCCGTGTTTCCTGTCCTTCATGTTCTTGAGTGGAGACTCTTTGGGACTGTTGGATGAAATCGGAGATGGTCTATATGTATGAGCATTTAAAAACTAAAGACTCCTCATGATAGAATGAATAAGCTCTGAGTCTCTGAACTAATACAGTATATTAAATAAAGTGTATATGAAATACAATCTATCAGACTAAATATAACTGGTTGTACAGTAAAGACTGCCAGAACCTCACAATGGCAGAGGTGGAGGAAACACCTCTAGACACCTAGAGCTGTATACTGAAATTTCAATTTGCCTTTAACAGTGTTATACTATAACTGAAAATCGGATACATTAAGTTGAAGATGAGTGAAAACTTATCAGACTATTGAAGTTTGCTTTATTGTTTCTTCATTTCCATCATTCAATGGAATACATGAATCAATAAATGTCCCAAATGCCTCACTCCCTGCCAGGCTATGAGCTGACAGGCCTGGCCCGAGGTGGAGAGCAGTTGGCCAAGCTGAAGAGGAACTACGCCAAAGCTGTGGAGCTGCTTGTGGAGCTGGCATCTCTGCAGGTGAGCCGCACCCTGGCATGACCCGATTTTTGTTGTGATAGATGGCACACTGGTACCCAGCAAGTAATGGGGTAAAGCAAAGAAATCCTGGCCAAAAACAAAAGCTTTCTGTCCCTTGTTGATTGTGTGCCACTGCATAAGGCACCCTGGATGCAGCCAGCTAATGACAGCTCAGCCTGGAACCGGTGATCTCTGGACTGTGGACACAATGTAATTAATAAATCCAGGGTCACAGTTGGTCTTGAACATTAGACACAATTACAGGAAGTGCTATATTCATTTATTTAAAAAAATCAAGAAACTATCTTAAATGTTTAATAATTTAATAATTCTTAAAATTAATAAAGAGATATCGACACCTAGAAAAAACCCCAAATATTAACATTCTGTTGCTTTACAGATAATAAGACGTATTTAAAATTGTGATATTACAATTGCAAAGAGCAACCCAACAGTTTACAAAGTTAAGGACATCTTGTTGTTTGGGAATTGAAAATACCATTGATTAGAATTAGCTGTAATGTGGATTTCATTATAGAGAATATCCCCTCATTTAGATGATGTGCTGCTAAGTATAACTGATATACGGCTCATGGTTAATGCCATGTTGAAATAAACCTTCCATCCTGCCTGTGTTGCACTGTGCTGACGCATCACTTTTGTCTATCTCAGACCTCCTTTGTGACGCTGGATGAAGCAATCAAGATAACAAACCGCAGAGTGAACGCTATAGAGCATGGTGAGTGCTTGTTAATCGCCTGCTAATTTAGTTAGAACAGTGGTTCTCAAACTTTTTGGACCAAGTACCACCCCTGATCAAACCAAAGCATCCAAGTCTTCTTCTCGTAGGAACCACAGAAAATCTCAATGACCAACATGAGCGCGCGCCCACACACACTCACATATACATATAATAAAAATAGCACTCTGCACTTACCATTTTAGTGAGAGGGATGAGCCTGTTTAGTCGAGCAAAGCAGATGTGAATTCATTGGTTGAGCCTTGATACAATTCACAACTGTGACAGCAGAGTCTAACAGATTTTAAATCCCCAGGCATTTTCTTGACTGTCAGGGCCTCACAGTGGATGCTGCAGTGCGTCCACTTCATATCTGGAGCAACCTCTCTAATTGGTGCAACTAGACTGCTGTGTCTGCCTGTTATTGCTCTAGCACCGTCTCTACAAACTCTGATGCATTTTTTCTAGTTGATGCCATTCTCTTTGATAAATTCATTTAGAAGCTGAAATATGTGCTCTCCTGTAGTTTTTGTTGGCAGCGGCTTACGGAACAGTCCTCATGGGACGTGCCCTCAAACTCAAATCTAAGGTGAACGTGCAAATTGGTCAAATCAATGGCATCTACAGTAATTGCAGTGAAAAGCATCTGTTCATCTTAACGTGCTCCATCAGCTTACTTTTGACATCATCTGCCATATCAATAATTCTACAAGTGACAGTGTCATTGGAAAGGGACAGCAGGTTGAGCTGTTTAGCAGCTTTTTATCCACACATACACACATGGTAAACAAAGTTCTTCACAAATAGTTAGGGGCTTACCTGCTTTAGCAATCCGCAAGCTTGCATTTCCCCCCATTTCTGTTTCAGGAGTCCGTCTCAGAAGTTAAAAGAATTTTTTATTTCATGTGCATGGGAGTGAAACACAGAGATGCTTGGTGTGATTTTTCTCAAATTAACCTAGAACAGTCCTTAAATATTTTTCTTGTTATCTATCAGGCTTTCCTGCGCTCACAAGATTGGCATTGTTCCAAAATCATGCACATTCTCCTACCTCCCTCTTTGCTGGAGATAACTTTTTTGAAATACAATTGGTCACTTGCATTCGTACCACACATTCCTATACAATCGTATAGAGTTACATAGTAGCTCTTGTGTCCACTCAAGTATTAGTGAGCGCTGTACCGTAGTATATAGGCTGCGTATTTGACACATAAACTCATTTTATTAAAATAGAAAATATGAAAATTCGTCCCAATTATTCAGTGCACACAACAAATTTCCAGGGTCATCTGGTGTACCACTTGGGGGCACTCTGCAAACCAGCAGCGGTATGTGTACCACAGTTCGAGAACCACAAAGAACCAAGAAAAACCAAATATGTGGCCTATTTGGCTGCATGTCCAACACAGCTGTGAGGCTTCAAAGAAGGACATCACTAATGTAGATGAGCAAAGATAGAATTGAAAACTGTTTCATCACAATTTGCAGTAAACTAATGATAACTGAAGTCTGTACATCTTTATTCAGTTTTAATGTATAAAATTGGAGTTTCAGTAATGGCTTGTGGATGTTTTGGTGGTGAAGAGTGAGCACACTGGAAAATTAAGCCATAATAAATCACTAAATAAGAAAAGAAATTGCAGAAAGCTAATCTGTCGTCAGAACCTCCTTACATTTCTCCTTTGCGTTACAGTGATCATTCCCCGGATCGAACGCACTCTGTCCTATATCATCACAGAACTGGACGAGAGAGAGAGGGAGGAGTTCTACAGGTGAGACAAAGCAGATGAAGGCAAAAATCTGTCTGGGTGTAAGTCATTACAAACAGTGAGGCCTTTGTAAGTGTCCCTAAAGTTTACTGACAGAAATCTAACAAAATGTCAATAAAGCAAAAAAGTTAGAAGTAGAATTACCTAGATGTATTATGAGGGGAGGAATGTGTTGTGTAAAGCAACATGCAGTTCCAGTAGATCTTGTCCTGTAGCTGGAGCAATTAAGCCAGTTCAAAAAGAAAATTACAAAATTAAGCAGTTTCAAACCTACTAGCTACCTGTTCTGTTATATTAATGAAAACATTTCCATTTTGTCTATGGGTGGCTTGCCTTTTTCGGGTTGGGTATGCTCACTGGGGCCCCTCTTTAAGTAGAGGAATCACCTGATGGCTCCTGGTAACTGTGACTGAAGTTCATCCAAAAGGACCAAAACGGCTGACGATTAGATAAGACTAGAATAGAATAGAATAGATAAGACTATTAATTGTTTTTTGCTTTTCATCAGGTTGAAAAAGATTCAGGAGAAGAAGAAGCAGATCAAAGAGAGGACTGAGAAGGAGAGGCAAGCCCGCATGGCTGCTCTGGGCACTGTGGCAGAGCCAGCGAATCTCCTGACAGAGGAGAGGGATGAAGACTTACTGTTTGAGTAGCTGTCTGTCCACCTGTACACTACCCCCAGGCCCTGAATTAGATGTACATCTGTTATTTATTGTGAGACTTGTGTTGTATTGCAGCATATCCAAAATACTTTTTTTAAATTGGTATTATACTTGTGTTCCCTTTGAAACTCTCTGGCATTTGTCACTGCCAGATCTTCTAGGGTTCAGGGCTTTCAGATATTTAATTCTTATTACACAGACAGTGATGAAGGAATAGTGTATGAGGGCTTCTGTTAATCTGACAGCTGCTCAGAATCCTACAGGGTTATATAGCATCTTCTATTCCAATTGGCATCACAGTAGCACAGTTTTGCAGATAAACAAGCTTAACATTAAGCTCTGGGGCCTTGGTCTTTTACTTTGCTTTAAAATACTCTACTTACTAATACTTTAAAACAAGTGGGACAATTTACATTACACAATATTTTTCAGGAAATGCTCAAAGTATTTCAGTTGAAAAAGCATTGGATTACTATAATTAACTAAAAAGTAGGGACAAAATAGAAGCCTAAGAAAGAAAATGGACCGAGTTATTGGTGATGCAAAAAAAAACAAAATCTGTGGAGATCAGTGTGTTCTTGTAACAGTTAGGCTGAACAATTTGTCTTTATTAGGGACAACCAAAGCCTGGCTTTCATTGTACCATTCATTTTATGTCTATGGTTTCTATTGTAGTACTGTAGTACTGTATTCAGTGTCAGTTACAAAAATGGTAACAAGAGACCAAGTTCTGTGTGGTGAACTGGTTAGTTTTTAACTCTTAAGCACGTGATTGAGTCTGAATGGCAGTGGGACCTTTCCTATGGTATTGTATTCTATGACAACAATAAGTGAAGCATGACAGTTATCGTTTCCTTCCTTGATTGGAAAAATACTAAATAAAATCACAGAAATTGACAAAGTATTCTTGGTACATGGTATTCATTACATTTCATACTTGAAAGTGTTATTGTACCCATAGTATCATCATTTTGAAGTAAGCATAAGTGACCTGCATGATTTTAAGGAGATAAAAGTTTGAGAGAGCTTTAAGGCTATAAGTGACCCCTTGTTGAAATATAGGCTACACTAATACTACTGATGGGCAGTTACAGTTCTCATACTGTCCTTTCTAGTTCTTGTAACAGAAGAAAGAAAATGTGTTCTTTCAGCTGAGAAAAACTGAATAGGACATGGTAAAAAATGCCAGCTTCTTTTTGCCAACACCAATTAGCAGCAAATGAAGATTGTGAGACATTAATTCATCTACATTGATCAAACCCATCTGCCTCAATTTAAACATTTCTAGCTATTCAGTTTTCATAATGCGCTTTCAGTTTGCTCGCCCATTACTAACAAAAGAACTGACGCAATGTCTCCAGCCACCCTTGCGAAGGATACTGAGCAAAAAGCAATGGACTAAGTGGATTTTTGTTCAATTATTATGTATAAGTGTTTAAAGAATTTAAATTTACAATGACAAAATAGACAGGAGTGGAGCTGAAATGCCTTCTTTCAGTTCACCTGCCTAGCCCATCACAGACATGGCACTCTTAAAAAACCCAAGGGAGGCCCCCCCTTCAAGGGCTATAAAAGTCGTCAAAATGCTAAAACATTTGTTACAGTATATTACCGAATTGGTTTAGCCAACTCTTCAATTTTACTAATGCTTGTCCAAACCCAACTGGTGTGCTGCTACAATCACCAAAGGCTCCAAAGCACCTTCATAAACATTAACATTCTTTTTCTCCATGAGATGTTTGATAAAGGAAATATATGAAAAAGAATTTGAGGTCAGGAGTAGCTACAGAGTTGTGGTGGGATGAGTCAGAAGGGTTTAAGAAGTGCCTTCCTAACCACAGTCTCCAAAGATCCTCAGAGAAACGGGGAGGGAAAGACAGGGATCCATATCCTTCTTGGGTGAACATTGGCTGTTCCCAAGAGCAGTTTGTCTCAGTGAGTCAAGAATTAAGATCAGTATAAAACAAAAACAGCAGCCTTCCCCATATGTACTTGCCTGAGATGCATCAGTTTACATCAGTTTTAAGTTTGCAGTTGCATGAACAACACACTGTTCCTTGAATTGCTTTGAATCCAAGTTGCAACAATGATGTTAGGGTGGATAAGTTTGAAGAAAAATATGTATTTTGTATTAAGTAAGATTTAAATGTAGGCATATTAAATCAATGTCCAATGTCCCTTTCAAGTATGGTGACACCTGGAAGCAATTGCACAATCGAGGAACAATGCCAACTAAGTCCCATAAATGTCATCTATAGACCACAAAGCAAAACATAGCAGATGTGTATTGACTCTGTAATAGATTTTTAATCAAGGGTGATGAAATTTTAGCCTGTAAACAGGCATGATAAAACCTGATCCAGTATTAAAAGTAAATACAAATGTGAAATAGTTACATGCTATATTTTCAGGCCACTGCATTTTACCAAAGCAGCCCTGAATTTCTTCATCTTAGGTTTCATCCAGCTCTCCAGGATTAATCACATTTTTGTTCTGAATGTACAGTGATAGTCACAATACCTGTATTTTCTATACCTGATGTTTACTATGGAATAGTGTAAAATAGTGAAACTGGTGGAAAATTAGTTTCCCTTAAACCTCTGTATATCAGAACATTTGATTGTGAAAGACTTTACCATTTGAAAAAAAAAAAAGAAATCACTGCTGGTTGTTTCTCCTTTCAGAATCGGGACAACCCAGTATAGAACATAAAATGAATCCTTTCTTAACAAATCCCTGTGAAATACAAGCTGTTTTATGAAAGGTATTTTAAAAAAGTAATGTTTCCAGCAGTGTTTCTACACAGTTATAAAGGCAATTGAGTATATTTAGATCTCCAGAAAATGATAAAGCAATCAACAAGCATAGTTGAAATTTCTATTATTCTGTTTTTTAATTTGCTGTGCAGAATAAATCATACAAAATGAGATCTTCAAATGGCCTCAATTGTACATTACTTACATTCATTAATTTTAATTCCAGTTTATTTGCTTAACTACATCACATATTACAATAACAATGTTACTGCTAAAACATCCCTGTCTGTAAAATCACCCCCCAGAAAACAAAAAATTCAATTTTAGCTCAAAAATAAAGGGTTAAGTTTGAAAATAACCTATTGATGTATTTTACAGAACATTCTATTTTTCATAAAAATAGGTTGTCTAAATACATTATCCCTACAAAAGTGAGGAACAGTACTTCAGTAGAACTGTTTCCAGTGTGTGCTTAATTGTTTATCAAGAATTTACCTGTATAAAAATACCACAGCTTAAAGGTCAGTATACATACTCAGTTAATGTATTTATGTAATGGTGTATATATGTACAGTACACACACTTCTAAACACAATCATATATACAGAGTAAAGCAAACATTAGTGACTGCTCTGCAGATTTAAGGGAAAGTAAAGGGTGTTCTACAAAAGATGAAAATCTTTAACATTAATACATTAGACAGCCATTAGGGGTTGTTCAAATAAAAAAGTAAAAGCAGATGCCTTTCCAGCAATTAGCACTGTCAGAAGAGAACTCAGAAGACTGTTGGTGACCATCCCTTCAGAGATGACAACGTAATATTTTGTGAGGAAAGTGGACCCACCCAGCACTGACATTTGGAAAAACCCGCCTTTTAAATGAAGGCAAGGTTGTGTGTATTTTCCTGCTTTTTGCATGTACAATTCCACACAGCAGGGGGCATTAGTTGTAAAGACATTGCTTTGCAAGTGTTATTACCATCAGCAGTAAATGAGTATGAGCTTCAAGGTCTTTAGGATGGCTGTACTCTTCTCTACTCACTTACTCAGGTTGCAGACTTAATATCACAGAGCTGATATCTGTTGTTCCTCCCTTAGCTCGAGTCAGCTGTGACCAGCGTTTCCCAGTGGTAGAGTACTGCTGCGATGGACAGCACTTTAGTCAGCCAGCACTTCCCTAAGATGCAGTGCTTCCTTAAGCACAAACACTCCTATAAGGTGGAGCTCATAACTTGTTATATCATGAATGCCCCTGACAGGTAAGCATATCGGGAGTGTGTGCACAATCCTCTTTCACCTCATGTGGTACAGGGGATGTATTGTAGCAAGAAGCAGATGCCCGAGTGGCGGATCTCTGGACGTAATCCCATCACAAGACCTCTACTGTCAACAGAACCTAGGGATTTACCCTAGGTAACCTTAAACATTAGTGTATATTGATTCAATCTTAAACACTTTGGCAACCAAATTCCAAAAATATTCCTCAGATTCCTTCAAAATTATTAGTTGCACATGATCTTTTACAACACAGAATGGTGGCTGCAATACTGATAAATAAACCATTTAACTAAAAACATATAAGATGTAAGGATGTTTTTCATTCGAATATTAAGATATTACAGTGTCGAAAAACATTTTAATGCACCACTCTCAATTCAGATTGATGCCTCCCTTACTTTCTAATTTCCTTATTCATTCTGTAATCAGATGTGACTAGAATGTGACAATTTATTCCTAGTTCACTTTAATACTGAATTCATTTATAATACATCATATTCCTAGCAGAGTAGATGACCTGGGTTACTGGTGTAAAAAAACATTTTAAAGCTCCAAGCACTTTCACAACACAAAGAGCCAACTGATACTGGGTTCATTGCCATTTCAGTCCAGAGAGAACAAAACAACCAAAGTTAAAAATATAGGCTATACTAATTTCTGTAGTCTTGCACACTGTGTTTTCTGCATGTATATACACTGCATGTAAAAGTAATGGGAAAGCGAATTGCTGATATCTGACCCTGCAAACAGACAAACAGGCACTGGGTTGTATTTGAGATCTGAGAGCTCTTCCCACAGGCAATGCAAATACAATACTTTCTTCAGCAGACTGTACAGGACTGAGAACAGAACTCTTGTTCTTGAGAGGTCCACTACTATTACTACTACTACTAGAGACTTACAAATTAATGATTCATGATCAACACACAGAATTACATTGACACACCACTGTCCATTAAATTGGCTCTTGATCAGATGCTAGAGGCATTCTGGGAGGAGCTTTATCAGCTTCTTTTCATTTATGAAATTCCTGTCAAATCAATGACACCTGATTTAGGAATTAAGTTCCTGTATATTTACACAAATATTCATGTCAGCTCAAAGCTGGCCTGAACCAAAAACAAACAGCACTACTGACTGACATGAACATTTTGACTCAATTAAAATACAAGAATTCAAATTAGACCACAATTACTAAATGCAAATCCTATTTTGAAATAATCCTTTTTTAAAAGAAAGATTTGAGCAGAAAAGTCTTTTTCTTAATCTAATGGCTCAGAGTTTAACCCCAATATACCAATCACTTCTATGCAAACCTGCTCATTAACGACATTTTTCTTGTGACCTCCATGCATTTTCATATAACAATGATAATAATAACGGGAATGTTTTACTCCACACAGTAAGAGGTTGAAACAGCTTCATTTTAAAATCTCAATATGGCCACATCACCCTGGCCCAGCCACATAACACTGGACTCCTGGTTGCATACTTAGGTAATGTGTAGTGAGCAATTCAGATATGCATTTGTACTACTTATATTCACATATATTTACATTATAAATAGTTACCAAAGCTGTAGATCCCTGCTACCAAGTGCAGGTAAGAGCTGGAATGTTGATCTTTAATTTAGAGGAAAATAGAGAAAGTCCTGAACAGAGACAGTTTGCCACTACTACTGTCCTTTTTGTGTGTGACATATACCAGAAATAGGTATGAAAAAAGTATCCCGACTCCTGGCGCTGGCCATCATGCAGAAATGGGGAGCTCCCCACTACAAGCTCCTGCTCCCTTGTCAAGGAAACTTCGGCACAGCTCCCCCTCCTGTTAAAGGGTTTTGGAGAGGAGCACAGGTTAGCGCAGCCAGGAGGATGGCACCCACTGTGGCTCTGTGTCCAGCTTGTTGATGAGCCGCAGCAGCTCCTGGTAGGCTTTGTCTTGGTCCATGTTGACAATGGCTGCATCAAACAGGTGCCCATAGTTCTGTTCCATCTCCCTGGCTTTCTCAATGATGTCTCGCAGCTCCTCGGGCTGGGAGCAAGCAGGAACAAGAGCAAGTTAAGTTCCTAACTAGCATCTGCCAGAATACATGTTTTTGGACAGTGTAGAACAAAAAATCTCCATTGTGTTACTACATTACAACACTATAATGGCGATAAGCATCACCCTTCGTAGTCTTTCTATTCCCTGGTTTTCCGTTTCAGAGACTTTGGGTATATCTGACAGCTCTTTTGTTGAAAAATTATAATGGCGGAGATGAAACAGTAGGGACAGTTTACAGTTAAAACTATGCATTGCAATCTGGGACTGGTGGGGGCTTTGTTGTATTAACAATATCACTAATACCTCAAAAATGAAAGCCGAAAAACAGTAAAACATTAATTGTGACTCTTACTAAAAACTGAACTGAAAATGTTTGTTTTTCTTAATTACAGTCAGTACAATCCTGACAGGAAATGTTAACAGACAACATGAGATGACTGCATAAAGAAATGTGTTAGAAGAAATATTATTAATAAGGAATATTATAGTTTATAGCACTTTTCATGGAACGTGATCTCAAGGCACTGTACACATACAATACCCTGCAAAAGTATTTGCTGAGTTCCAATGATGTCACATATTATACAGGGAATACACAACTGCATACACAGCCAGTTGTAACCAAACAAAATGGAACATCACTAGGAGGCAGTGAATATGTTTGCAAGGCACTGTAAACCAAACAAAGGACACAGGTATAAATAAAAACCTTTTGTAAAGTAAGAGCTACCTGACTTCTCCCAGTGTTTGGAGCCATGTGTTTGGAACTGGAAAAAAGGGTGAGTGAACCACACCCTGAAACTCCAGCAGTGTAAACACACTCACCCCAAGGTCTGAGGTGCTCTTACCTTGGGGTTCTTTCCTTCTTTGGCCAGTAAAGCACGGAGCCGTTCCTGGTTTGGAGGTGCAATGAAAATGATATACGGCTTTAGGTCTGAGCTGCGGAGCACCTTCAGAGACTGTGGATAAGGAAACAGCAGAGAGACATGAAACTGCTGAATGGAAACCTTAGTTCTTGCATTTAAAGCCAGTTAATCAACTTTCCCCAAGATCAATCTCATCTCCTGGGCATAACAGCATAGAGATGTATCTAAACATCTACCCCTACCCTTCAGCCGACAGTCAATCAATACAACAAAGGAGTTATAACTGATAATACAACAGCACCACAAGGAGACCTGTAATTTTTAAGCATGCCTTTAGGATCTGGAGGGAGTTTGAAGCATTTACAGCACCACAGAAGACCCTGATTCTAGACTTATAAGATAGTGTAGTTTATGCAGCACTGTACATCTAAAACATATTGCAAACCTATGTATACCTATCACCCTGAAACTCACAACTGGCAACCCATTGAAGCTAAGCAGGTGTGACCCTGGCCAGTAGCTGGATGAGAGACTTCCTGGGAAAAACTAAGGTGGTGCTGTAAGAGGTGTTAGTGGGACCAGTAGGGTCCTGACTCTGCACGGTCAATAAAAATGCCAGGGTGTTTCTCGAAAAGAGTAGGGGCGTTACTCCTGGGTCCTGGCTAATTTCCCCCTGGACTTTACCAGTCATGGCCTCCTAATAATCCCCATCTATGAACTGACTTCATCACTCTGTTCTCCTCCCCACTGGTATCTGAAGTGTGGTGAGCGTACTGCCCATCGCATTATCCAGGTGGGAGCTACACATTAGTCGTCGTGGAAAGCAGTCCCAATAGCCTGTAAAGCACCTTGAGTGGAGTATTATAATAATAATGCATACAAAAGGATTGCAGATTACTTTTTTCCCGTCATTGCAAGCTAATAAGGAATCGAAGACAAAAACTTCCCTTATTCAGTTGACATATTTGTTTCACACACACTGTGTCAAAGATTTACCTTGTCTGCAACTGCAACCCTTAAAGTCAAGGGCAAAATGTAAATTTGTAGGTAAAGATCATGCCATTTGTAAAAACCACACTTTGTAAAGTGTGACATTGTGAATATGCCAAAACATTATCATGATTAAACCTAAAAAGCTCAAGTGATTGAAGTGACAATGAACCAGCACATATTTAAGAGTGAATATGTGCCAAAACAGATGAAAATAACTGAAACAACTCTGTAAAATGACAGTAAAGTTAGTTATGGCTATGGAACCTAGTCCGTGTAATGTAGATTATTCTGAAGCCCTAGTGTCAAATTTACAATTAAACAAAAAGTGCATTTCTTCCAGTAGTGTCCAGTGTATCCTGGTGTTGTACCTGAGTATGGAGACTCAGCAGGCAGATCTTTCCAGAATTGATGACTTGACGCACAGAGTCGGTACTGGTACCGTAAAGGTTTTTCTCAAACTCTCCAGACTCAATGAATTTGTTAGCCCCTACATCCATCTCAAAAGCCTGTCGGGAGACGAAGTGGTAGTCACGGCTGTTCACCTCATTGTCTCGCCTGCTCCGTGTAGTGTCTGAAAAAAGGAAATCGTCAAATGTGCAAGAACAGTAAAAGCAGGAAAAAACACAAATTACTGCATTTAAATAGCGGTAGCCAACAAGTAAGTTAGTTTGGTACAGATCTTGCAATATTCTGTTTAAGTGAACTACACTAATCACTATAAAGGAAGAACTTGTGTTGCTATACAAAGCTTTCCTGTCGACGTAACCTCTGAATTCAATGTTGAGGTTCCTTCAATGAATGGTAGAACACAAAAGGCTTATAAAATCATGGTGTTCTAACTTTTAGCTCACAAAAACAAAAGGTGGTTTGAAGCACTTACTAGCACTAAGAAACGTACATGAGTAATTGAAAACAATGGTGAGAAGACCATTGAGTCTGACTTAATCACAAATATGTGATTAATCAATAGAGGGATTTTAACACTGTCTGACTGGAGAATGAGCGGGGGGAAGCCTTCATTATCTTACGTGGGACAGCAGCGGCGAAGCGCTCGGGTTCGTTGGCCATCAGTCTCTGCCGAAGCTCATTCTGCCCACAGCCGGGAGGACCTATCAGTGCTATTGGCCTTTTCCTATTAGCTGGCTGGTGGTAAAGAGCCATTTCCTCATAGGTCAGGATCTCCTCATTGTCATAATCTAAGGCAAAAGTAGCAGAGGACTCAGCTCATCCACCGGATTCAAACCCACTGAATCCATACAAGTTCAAATGGTGCTTATACCAAACAGCAGTCTACTATTACACTATTACACAGAGTATTCTACTGTGTGTAAGTCCTATTAAACGTGTTAGATGAAATGTATTTGTATTTTGAAAAGCCTTCATTCTATTTTTCTTTTAGACCTTGGATGTTTTAAATTCACCAGGAATTTAATTTTCCACCCTGTTCCAGGAGCAGAAGCGTGATCACTTGCCAAAGTCTGCTTCTTCAGTACTTCATAATGGTCAGACTAACCTCTAATAATCTGCTGAATCTTTCTAAAAATGAAGATTTGTGAAATGAAGTGCTACACTGCTCAGACATCTTCTGAAACATATATTGCATAAGTGTTTTTCAAAACATGGATCTATGCACGTACAGTATAAAACTGCAACACAGCACTGCACTACTCTGACATTGACTACACAGGAAGTTGACAGGGCTTTTTATACTGTACCCGATTTAATACTTAGAAAACAGTGCTTTGCACCATCCAGTAATGACTGCCAATCCTATGTTATTTATTCTGGTAGTTTTATGGGAAAAACTCTAAGCTATATGAACAATAATGCAAGCATAAAATTATATAAACATTTCCACCAGGATAAGCAAGAGCCCACAATAATTAAACAGCAGTTGAGCACATTCCATTCTGTCACCTAGTGGTTAGAGTGATTTACTGTCATTTTCAAAGCTGTGAAGAATCCGTCTAATCTGAACACATTTACCTACAGAGATTTAGTAATTTATTAGTTTCAGTTTAATGTAACAGATAATCTGTTCAAAGTGCTCTATATTAAACCCTAGAAGAACAAGATGATAGGGGGTAGAATACAGCCTTGGGGGCAGCAATGTGGGGTTGGGGTTTACGATTGTGGTCTCATAACTGAATGTTTGTGTTCATATCTTGAGGAGGGCTCTTTTACGACTGCTTTGGCAAAACTGTAAGGGTGTATGACTGGGCACAAACTAGAAGTTGTCTTGGATATAAAAGGGTCCTAATTGGTCTTCCCATGTTTGTTCAAGTTTGTGTACTAAGCCAGGTAGAGATCATCTTCCATGTGGCAATACCAGCAATACCAGGCTTTGCACAGTAAAAGTTAGAACAACTTCAAATTTTCAAAGAGGTCTGCCAGGGTCTCTCCACTGAGTGATTTCACCCAAGAAAAATTACAGCACTTTCAAAGCAAAAGAAACTTCTACTTAATGATGATGGGCGAGAAGACCAAAAAGCCTCCCCTATGATGTCCCTTATGTTTTCCATAAATATTGTTTTCCAAATTTTATGTAACATTTGTATAAGTTTCTTGTCCAGGTTGTCACTGTAAATGAGAATCTGTTTTCAGCCGCATTATCTGGTAAAATAAAGGTTTGATATTTTTCGAGCTGGGTCAATGGTTTAGCTGCCTCTAGTCCTCTGAGGATCTGCAGTGGACACAGTTGTGAGTACAGATGTTGCTCCTGGCACCCAGGACACGCATTACAGTGCCAAATCCTCAAGAAAGTACTTCCCATGCCTGACTTTCCTAGCGAGAAATAAATCATAGTTTTCCATACCTTCATTTTTATTAGCATTGTACAACAGCTTCTTCCGCTTCTTCTTGTTCTTTTTTGCACACCAGAGCTTCCCTATGGGTTAGAAGAGTTAAAGGCAGTAGGTTAATGTCTCCCTGATCTGAACTGCCCCAGTGAAGGCCATTCACCTCTGTGACCCATATCACTTACACTTGTAGGAGGCACAAAGCAGTATGGATATCTAGGCAGCATTCGTCTGCACCCGGGGTCGCTTAATCTGGTCCTGTAAAGCCAGTGTACTTGCAGGTTTCCAGTATATGTGAGCTCTTAGTGGCCTAAATAATTTGACCATTGCCTTAACTGGAACTTTACCTCTCCCAGCTCTTCAGGAGCTGCTGCTTTAAAGAAACCTTAAAAAACCTGCAGACACACCAGCCCTTGAGGACTAGGATTTACATCACTCGGTCCACATGAACTCAGTCCTGAATAATATGAAAAGGCATAACCATTATATTCATGACTAATTTTACATGTCTATATTCAAACAAAACAATGGCTGCAAAGTTCTTCTATTGTTAACGACCCAGTTGAAAAACAAAATGCTCAAAATTTAGTCAATCGGGTGAATATCTTCTGATCAAAACAGTGTCAGTTATCTCTATGAAATAACTTAAAAAATGCAACAGGGAAATCAGTAACACACAAACCAAAATTTTAATACTCAATTACGAATAATATCAATATGCATTGCTCAATGATTAACCAAGTGTCAGTTAGCATATTTCTAAAATATGTTAAACAATGTGTGACAAGAGTGTGAAAAGAACTTTATTCTTTTCAGAAACCAAAAGGTTGTTGCATGTCCCCCACTGTATCTTACGGATTTCTATATTGCTAGTCTTATTATCTATTTTGTGAACCACAGCTTCTGATCAATTAGTTTTACATTTCTCAAATTCACAGGACATGAAAACATCATCCATGAATATGTACTTTCAATTACAATGGGAAATATTAACGTATTTCGGCATGTAATGCAATTATAAAACTTCTACTGATTTCTAAGGCCCCATAAGTCCCCATAAAGCACATCTCTCAACTACATTTCTAATAACGTGTTTAATAAATGTATGAATTAATAGCTTGCAGTAAAAAAAGCTTTTAATTTAAAATGTAGCTATTTTTTAAACTTAAGACATTACTGAGAAACCAATCTTATTGTTTTGAATTAATGGTGTTTTTATGTTTCCCCATTTCATCATCATTCTTTAATTCAAAAATTAACATTCAATAGTGACAACACTAAACAAAACAAGTAAAACAGTACACTCTGGATAAATAATTAACAAAAACCCAGAGACACAAATATAAATTAGGAAGGAGTTTTTTTAGAACTGAGAACAGGTATCACTTTCTGATAGGGGGAAGGTGGCAGGTGTCCGGAACAACTAGCTCATTTATGTATTTGATAAAACCACTGGATCCTTCAAGGAATGACTGGATTAGATCCTTGGATCAATTAAATACTAGTAATCAAGAAAGCAAGATATGAATGAGGGCATGCTATTTGGTTTATGTTCTTATGTAATTGGAATGATCTGTTTGAACACTGGTGCTTAGGCTGAAGACAAGTCCATTCTAATTATGTGAAAGTTCTTAACATATCCTGTAATCATTCTTTGAATTAGTATCAATCAGTTGTTAGTATAGTCAACTAATAACTTACTTGGGGGTTTGGGATATATATACAGTAAATAAAAGTAAATAACACAACTGTATAGGCTCACTAGCTCTCATAGTATTGCTTGATTTTTTTCAGAGAATAAAGCATTCTTTCCAATATTTTTTATTTTCCAGAGCAGACAGCGTTAATCTGCGACTGCTTTGAGAATGCGCAAGTTGCAAGACCACTGTATCAGTAACAATTTTGATGATGTTTTAGAAGGCACACTAACCTGACTTCTCTGGCTCCTTATCTTCCTCAATTGTTTGCTTCATGGCTTCTCTTTGCTGCTGGAAACTTTTCCCTAAGAAAAATTCACAGGGCAAAAGGTTAGAAACAACAGGAATTAGAAAGTATCTCTAAAATAACCCAAAATATCATGTGCTCTAATTAGAATCTGCACTTCTCCAGTGTGGCAATGGCTTATACTATATTGTTCTTTTAATATATTTAAAAACATGAAAAACAATGAAATTATATTAAGAAATAGCAATAAATAAAAAAACAGATACAGAAATCCACCTAACACAGTACACAGTAGTAAATGGTAAATTGGTACTTTATTCAAAAGAGAGAAAACGGAAGAATTTTCAAAACCCAACAAAATTGTAAATGAAGTGATCCACCAGCAATTATTTTGTGGAAAATTAGCAATTCTTTGTGGTGCCATCAGGTCAGAAGCTCATACATACTACTGGACCACTGAGGTCATGTGGCGCTGCTTCCTAACCTACCAGGAATGAGGCCGGCCAGCGGCTGATTGTCCTCGTCACCATCGCGGTACGCTTGCCACCAGTTGGGATCCTCTTGGCTAATCACATGCAGGATATCTCCTTTCTGGAAGCACAGTCCCAGCTCCCGACAAGGCACATATGGATCATCAGAGGGGTCATAATCAAAGTGAGCTTTGAAATGAACCTGCACAGAAAAAAAAAAGATAAATTTCAGGGAGCAAGAGATAGCAACCACTGAATGCACCCTGAATGCTCCCCTTAAAATAATTAAGGACATTACAGACCCTTCTGTCTTGATGACATTTTCCTGAATTCTTGAACAAACAGTAGATGTATTCAAACCACAGTGCCTGTGAAATCACTACCATGTTGTTTATTCTTTAGAAATATACAGGATGATCAGAAAGTTAGATGGCCCATTTAAACAACAACATTACAGGGTGTCCGATTTATATACATTTTATTTAATATATATTATTAAAAATATAGTGACGTGGTGGTTAGCATTGCTGCCTCTCAGTGCTGGGGACCTGGGCTCAACAACTGGGGCATTATCTGCGTGGGTTTTTCCCCCAGGTGCTCTGCTTTCTTCTTCCCACAGTCCCAACACATGCTGGTATGTTAATTGGCTTCTGGAAAATCTGGCAAAGGTGTGAATGTGTCCGTGTCTGTGTCACAAATAGTTTAGCACCTAACTGTGCACAGCCTAATAAAAGTGAAGTGATCAGTCAGAAAGATAACAACACCATGATCTTTGATGCTTCTCAAGAAGTCTGCATTACAGCAGTCTCCTTTGAAGGGCTTCCCTGAGGAAAGGGGAATGAGGCAGTGTTAAGCTTGTGTTGTATCTCACAGTACTGTACTGTAGCACAAGGCTAACAATCATGTAGTTCTGATGGCTCCTGCAAAGGCAATGTGTGAAGCACCATTACAAATGAAATCCAGATATGAGAAATCAGATCTGGTTGTGTGGTATGTCCAAGGAAACTGAAATGTATATCTATAGAGACTAGCAATCCTCCTTGTCTGATGTTTTTATTATATTTTTTAAAATCACCCTTTTGTACTGTTATTGTGACCAACGGATTTGATTCCCTCAAACTACTGAAATATGGAAGAGGAGATGGATTGCATAAGGATACATTCTGTTGAAAAAGGCATACAATTCTTTATGCCCAGGATTTCACATGCCTTTAATCCAGACCTTTTACCAATAAATTGTCCCCACCCAACATACCAATGAGCAGACATGCATATATCTGGTTCAGAGTAACAACCATATGGGTTATGCTCGATAATAAAGGGCTACACTCATCTTTAAGACTGAAAACACCTATTGTATTTTACAACAATGTGAATATTATTCCTTGATTTAACCTGAAGACATCTATGTGAGAAGCTCAATGACTACCATGAGTGTCCAATATTCTTGCTGACAGGCATTTCGAGAGGTCCTTCCAAAGGACCCTGGCTCTTCTCTGGCTGTCATCATGCCGAGGAAGGAATCTCAACAGTTATTGCTAACAACTAGATGTAGTTAGTCACCAGGGCATAGAACATTGGAACTGAGAAATTCCTGATTTGAAAGCCTTACAAAGATCTGTGATTACAATTTCATGTGATGATTCATGCCATTTAATTATCTAATTTTAATAAAGGTAAAAAAAAGCTCTTCAAAAACTAAGGAAAGAAAAAAATGTGGTATACTGAACAATTATTAATGTTAAGCAAAATAAAATTTTTCAAGTTTATTACCAATTTTATTTTTTACAGTTGCTTTTATTAGTTGATCCCTATAAAAAAAAGCTATTACTTGCAGCAGAATTTTTCTCACACAAAAATTCGTTCTTTATTGCTCATAATTGAATGAGTGGGTATTTTATAAAGACATTATGACAGGTTCCAGTTTTCTTGTAAATGTAATTGGAACTCTTTAATTAGAAGTAACAAGTAATGAGAATGTCTTCTTCTGAAATTAGTTTGTTTCCCGGGAAAATAAGTTAGCACAAAGTTAAATAAGAGGTAATAAACAAAATGAGAGTCCCAGAAAGCACTTACAGCACATAAAATTAGTGTTATCAAAACCCTGGAGTATTTAATTTAGCAATGGAAAAGAAAATGCAAAGTCAAGCCAAATTACACACTTTTCAAATACAAACTAAAATTTACCATTAACTCTTTCATTTTATATTTCAAGGGAATCCTACTTCCTGGTTTCTGCTTCTGCTTTTATCAGTGTAAAAATAAAAATGCCAACAGTATAAAATGGTCCATTGTGGTGTATGTTCTACTGCCAGTGTCTGGCAAATGTCTAAAACACATCAGTGAACTGAAATAGCTTGCCGAAAACTTGGCAGCTATTAACTCTTCACAAAGAAATAAAGCTAATAGGATCACTGTCCTCAGTGTCAGGAGCAGACAGGTCCACTTACCACAGTTTCCTTGATGGGTGGGGGCTTGGACTGCTGACTGGGAATGAGCACAAATGTCAGCGTGCCATGCATATCAGCCTGCAAGACCAGAAACCAGTCACCCCTGGGTTAGCATCAGCTAGCTCCATCCACAGAGTTACAGGTACAGTTCACTGAATGGGATCATTTAAAAAAAATGCATATCTAGTCATCCATTAGTCATCTATCCTGCTATCTCAGATCAGCTTACACATGCTTGAAAAAGACAAAAAGTGCAGTATGTTTGTATTTATAGGACCTAGGAATACTGCACATAACTAATTTTTGGCTCAGACCCTGAATTCTGAAAACCATTATCAAATTTTGAAAATGACTACTCTTACGAGGCTGGCTGTATGCCGCTTTAGAGTGGACTTACAAGGATGTCGAAGACCTCGTTGACATCTTTTCCCCGGATTTCGATGCCATTGATCTCCAAGATCTCATCTCCTTCATGGAGCAGCCCACTCTTCTCCGCAGCCCCTCCTTTCACAATCCTGCTGATAACCACAGAATCCATGTCGTTCCTCACTGTGGCCCCCTGAAAAACACACACCACAGCTATAGCACTGCTCCATTCTGCTTTGTCCCTCCCCCCTTTATATTGTTCAAGCTGTTTTCTTCTACAGCTTGGAATCTTGGAAACAGTTTGATTTTGTGCTCATCTTAAAGTTATTAATTATTATTGCTAATGGCAAATTGCTTAATTGTTGAATAGTTAGGAATAAAATGGAATTGAGATATAAAAGTAGGTGTAAGTGTTCAAATTGAGTATCATAACTAACACATACAAAACACCTTTCATCCTTTAAGAACTGTGATGACTGCACCTCATCATGCATTTCACCCAGCTGCCACTGAAAGGTGCCCTGGCCACAAATGAAAACTCTACAGAACCGGTTTTCTCACTAAACGTGGTTTCAAATGTTGACAATTTAAAGACTTATAGCCCTTCTTACAGTTGTTATGGCTACTAAATATAGGATAAATTGAATTTGATTTTTTATAACTTTTGGCACAGCTTATTCATTTTTATCTTCTGATACTCCTGCATATTGTCACCTTCTGCAGCTTGCATTTCAAGTAATTCTCTTCAAAGATGTAGATTTTAACTGGAGAAGCTACTCGAATGCATCAGGTAGCCTGTGAAGCTTGGATTTCACTCCTGGCAGCTGACACTGCAACCAGAGAAGTGCCACTTCAAAGACTGATGTCTACAAAGTCACTGAACAGAGCAAGCAGCAAAAACCACCTAAACACCATTAGCAGTTAAATTTAAAGGTTTCAGTTAAGAGCCAAGGCATGCCAATACAGATAAAAAGGGATGTTTTCTGAAGACAAGCAGCACAGTTTTAATTATTTGATTCTCAGACAGTGATGCAATATTTTTCTTAATGGTATAATGGTATCTTAAAGGCAGGAAAGAGAATTAAGAGGAAGAAGTGGGCAGCTGATGAGATAGACTGCTCAACTGCCAGCACTCACCAGAGGAATGTCCCGTGCTTTCTCGATGCGAACAATTTTCACGGTCTCCCCGCCATATTGTGTCAGTGTCTCATAGAGTCCATCCTGGGGGCCAGCTGGCTCTGGCTGCAACTCCTGTTCGGCCACCTGGTCATGAGCTTGCATCAGAGCCTGAGGAAGAAAGTGTCAGGGGCCAGCATGGGCCAGATGAAGCCTTTGAGATCTTCTGGGTGTTTTTCTCACATATGCCTGCAAGGAGATGCACTGCACAGAAGGCTGAGTCATTGCAAGGTTTACCAACTGACATTATGGTTTAGAACAGTGGCTCTTAAACTTTTTCGATGACGGAACACTTTTCTGTCTAAGCTAATATTGTGGATCCCCAGCAACATTTTTTTCTTTTCAGGATTAGCTATGGCAGTGTTCTGCAAAAAGCATTCTAGGACTGCTATCCAGAGGCAATTTAGCTAATTATTAAGGAGAAAACTATCAATTGCAAGCACCACATGAAGCCATTGAGTTTATTTCAGTAATTTATTAATGTCTTATTGTCTACGATTAGCACCCCCTAGAGTTCAATAAAGCTTAATCACTGAAATAGTGTTTGAGAATAAAAAAATTGACATTTTAACCGCTGGTTCAACCAAGTTAGGGTTTTCTTCTGGTATAAAACTTTTATTTTTTTACATTGTTAGCAAAGGGAAAGAAAACACATAGATTTATAGAACCAGACGAGGTGCAAATAGGAAAAGAGTTGGTAGCAAAATGAGCAAAATAAACCACAGTGAGACAACAATACACAAGATTTTTTAAAAAAAAAAGTACTGATAATTTTTAATCAACACTGACTTCAAACCAGCAGAAACAGAACAATCTCAGTGTGTTGACTGAGTTTGTCTCTTACGTCTACAATTTTTTTATGTTTGGAGTATGGATATGAGTTGCAGTCTCCTGTTCAGCTCTGCATCTAATCTGTTGCGATACTTTGTTTTTGTGGAAACATACGACGAAAATCCAGCTTCACACAGGTAGATGGTCGCAAACAGAAGAACAATTATGGATACTGGATAATACTGGATATTCGTTTCTGCCAACTGCAGTTCATTAAAAGCTGTTTGTAAGGAAGAGTCAATTCTTCTCATATTCTTGCGACGTGAAGTCTCAAGGTTTCCCTGAAACTATGAATGGATTTTTAACCCAGGAGTAATTATGCAGTTTTTCATCCTGCTCATTTGGAAAGTACTGCATGACAGACTCACGTAGGTTGTTTAAATGTTGGACGATTTTTACAGTGAGTTCATCAAGCACTTGGGTGTCCTCATCAAGCTCTTCACAAACTTTTCAGTGTTGCAAAACAATCAAGCTCGTTCCGTTGTATGCTGCTTCTTGAAGGCATGAATTTTGTCACTGGCTTTGAATACTGTCGTGTGTTTCCCTTGCAATGCCAGATTAATTTAATTAATTTTTGTAAATATGTCCACTAGGTAAGCCAATCTGAGCAGCCAATCCCCATCATTCATTCACTCCCTCATTTCAAAGGTGTTGTCTATTAAGAAAGCACACATTTCAGACCGCAGTTCAAACAGTTGTATTAGTACCCTTCTGCAAGACAGCCATCGAACCTCTATGTGCAGCAGCAAGGATGTGTGTATGCTTCCCATGTCATCACAGAGGATTTTAAACAGCCTCGTATTCAGTTGTCAGGATTTTAAGTTTATCATTTTTACGGCTTCTTCGAGGACATTTTTAAGAACAAGTGGCATTTTCTTCATAGCAAGTGCATGTATTGCAATGTATTGAATATTTCAACCCTGGTTGTATTAGTCGGTAATGGTTCACAAAAAAGAAGGTCCTCAATTCGTATGCTTATCTGTGAACGGGACAGAGTTCTGTTGACGTTATGGAGGCCACGCGTTAACAGCAGATTTATATCATTTCTTATACTTATAAAACATTTTAATATGTATAACTTTTGCCCCACCGCCTTGTGGTTGCAGTCATTTCTAAGCGGTTTTTCTACCAAGTAACACGCTATTTTTGAGATTGTCCGGATGGCAAAATGGCAAATTTTTAATCTCCAAATGAGATAGAAGAGCAGATGGAAAAAGACATTTCATCAACAGCTTTGAGGTACCTTCTGGCTCTAGCAGCGAAAGTACAGACATTTATTCAGAGAGTGAATTTGAAGATGATGTTTCTGAAGATATGTCTACTTTTTCTGACTCTTGGAGCCATGCAAAGCATTCATAACTCACATTTTTTATTGATAGCAAATTTTTATTTTTATTTCCCTGCCAGAGGTTCCATGGAACACAGTTTGAGAACCACTGGTTTAGAAGAATACAAGTGCTGTGCTGGAGACTTTTAATATTATGATAATCTGAATAGGAAACAAACGGTGTAAGCAAAGATGAAAATCACTGTCGTGCAAATGATTTAGTCATCTTGCATTGTTCTACTATTATGCCTCAATGTTTTACTTTCTAGGTTACAGGAACAATCTACGGTGATCTACTAAAGGATCAAAAATTTTGTTTTGTGATAACCGTTAATCCTGACTTTTCATACTAGTAAAGGTAGCTTTATAACTTTCTGAATGTTTGACACGAGAAACAACTGACTAGGGCTAGGTCACATTTGATTGGTAACTCTGATATACAGTATTATCTGCTATAATAGATAATATCAGCAGCCACATCACCCTGCAACTCACAACTGGCAGCCCACTGAACGGGAAACCTCCTAAAAACTAAGGTTGCTGCTGGAAGAGGTGTTATTGGGGCCAGCAGGGGGGGCTCACCCTGCAGCCTATGCTGGTCCTAATGCCCCAGTATGGAGATGGGGACACTATACTGTAAAAAGGTGCCATCCTTAGGATGAGACATAAAAATGAGGTCCTGACTCGCTGTGGTCATTAAAAATCCCAGACCATTTCACGAAAAGTGTAGGGGTGTAACCCCAACATCCTGGACAAATTTCCAATTGGCCCTTGTCAATCATGGCCTCCTAATAATCCCCATCTATGAATTTGCTTCATTACTCTGTTCTCCTCCCCACTAATAACTGATGTGTGGTGAGCGTTCTGGCACACTATGGCTGCCACTGCATCATCCAGGTGGGTCCTGCACATTGGTGGTGGTGGAGGGGAAATACCTGTATACTCAAATACCTTTGAGTGAAGTGTCCAGAAAAGCACTATATAAGTGTAAGCAATTATAACATTTCAACAGATTAGGTTCTGATTAATGCATATTTAAGATTGCTAAAGGAAAAATGCTGTTTCTTCCCACCTAAAACAAGTTATATTAATAGTCACAGTTGTTGTAACAGAAAACACCAGTGAGGCTTTGAGCAAATTTTTCATGCTCATGATACACATCTTATTTTGTAAGTCCAACTCCTGACTATCAAAGTTGTCTAAAATCTTTGCACAACTGTGTATATAAATCTATAGAGAACCATCTGTCCCTAAGCAAAAATAGTCTTAATATAAAACTCAAAACACAGTTTATGTTTAGTTTATAAAATAAACATAGGCAGCTGCACAGCACTATAAACTTGAATTTAATAAAAACTGTCATTTATATGAAACAGTCCTGAGAAAAACTATTCTGTACTCCCTCTGTGAAGTCACTACATCCACTACCACACCCCTACCCAAAAGGCGGGCTTGACCAATAGGAAAAAGAAGTCATGTCCAAAGCAACCTGCCCACTGGTGACAAAGCTAACAACTCAAGTCAACACTCCAAGGCCATTGCAACCACACTGAAGAAATGGTCACATAACATATCCCACTCTTTACAGGCAAGCACTTCTAATTGCTTGCCTAGGTTTCTTAGGAGCTTAAAGACTTGCAAGTAATACCACTAACTGGTCAAATATCTAGAATGTCTTCTTTATATGAAATCCATAAAAATGAGAGACGGTTTTCCTTAGTTTGCTACTTAAAACTTAATCACTCAAGAAAACTTTAACCAGTAAAATTAAAATTTTTAAAACTAGCTTTCTACAAGTCAGCTGTACAGAATTTCACAGATGGATACATGATAGAATGATTAGAAGAATATCACAGGCAACTCATGAATTGGACCTTGGACTTTGTTCTAAGCGCTGGGCTGAGGATCCCGTACGTACTCAAGAATTCTGCAACGACCAATGTGAATGCTCCGCTTGATCAAGTCACACTCAGTCACACTCTGTGCATAGAGACTTTCTACTAGTCAGCCGGACTGCTGGTAGACCCCTCGGAGCAACTACTGCCCTGCGCGCCGCAGTTAGATTCCTCCGCCTGTCCTACTCCGAGCTGCACCTCGATTGGTTGGCCGGTAGCCAGAGGACACCTAGACGGACACCTAATTGGCCGACCGCTGGAACAGAGGTTGCAACAGAGCCTGTCATCTGGTTTGGTGTTCGTGCCGGGAAATCCGAATCCCTACAGTGGATAAGTAAACCCCATGTTCTACATTGCGTCTCGAGAATTTAATTGTTACCTCAACACAAGTTGTTATCAATTTAATGAATGTGTAATGTATTTACTTCCGAGTCTAGTAGTAGTAGTAGTAATAATAATAATAATAATAATAATAATAATAATAATAATTGCTTACACTTATATAGCGCTTTTCTGGACACTCCACTCAAAGCGCTTTACAGGTAATGGGGACTCCCCTCCACCACCACCAATGTGCAGCATCCACCTGGATGATGCGACGGCAGCCATAGTGCACCAGAACGCTCACCACACATCAGCTATCAGTGGGGCATTAGGACACACATGGACCGCGGGGTGAGCGCCCCCTGCTGGCCCCACTAACACGTCTTCCAGTGTAACAGTGGGTAATAACACTGAGTAGTGATTTGGTATAGCCGAACGATATATTGAAATATATTCTCTGTTGTGCATCTCTTTGTGTTTGCATCTCTTCGAGATTATATACCTTGTATATTGATAACCCTCGCAGTAACGTCTACCCCCTGTATCCAGGCAGACTGGTATATGTTTGGTGCACAATTTATGTTTAATAAATGTATCTCGTGTATTGAATCCGTGTGTGTGCGTTGTTAGTTGTTCTGATTTTCTAAAAGCCACAATGAACCACCTCGTGATTACTGCTACAATTAATAGTCTCAGTAAAATTATAAAACCACTACATTTATTGGCGTCCTTGG